CCATTTCATGCTGGGAATAGATAAAAAGTCATAATAAGGCATGAGTTTGAAAAACATCATGGTTTGGTAAGATGAACTGACAAGCAATTTCTGTTCAGAACAGAAGTTCAAACCCCAAAATGTCCACTCAACTTTTAACTCTATTATGCTTTGCACTCTCAGAAAACCTGCTTCTGAACCCTGCAGAAACAATTAAGAGTGAGCCATTAATGGAGGGAGTGGGGGAAGCAGCAGAAAATAAAAGTTTACCAGTGCCAACAGTTCAGACCTTTACAGCACTACTAAACAATGAGATGGCAGTAGCTGGCAGAGCAGATCTTACTCCGACACTGGGCAAGATTGTGACCATGCCTTCCTGGAATAGTAAGGAAGAGTTGATGGCTGAGAAAGGGAAAGAAGACAGAAGATGAAGAAACAAGGATACAACCTTTCTCTTTCTGTTTGTCTGTCTTGTAAGATGCATGAAATTTTTGGATAGGAATGCCTTGGAAAGTTATACTGTGGTCAAAGTATGTAGTACTGGAAATTACTTTCACTGTCTATCTTTGCTGGTCAGTCTTCAGTACTGGCCAAGCTCACCTGAACTTGAGACCAGTGTGACAAGCACTAGTTAGACATTAATATAGCCTTCCCCAACCTAGTTCCCTCTAGATGTTTTGGCCTACAATTCTCAGGATATCCGGCTATTGGTTATGCTGGCTGAATCTAACGAAAGCTGAAGTCCAAAACATTTGGAAGTTACAGGGTGCATTAGCACATCACGATGCTACTAGGTGCCGGATGACCTGAGAGTTACAGATGATAGTAGCATACTAGAAGAGAAGCATGTAAAAGTTAAAGAACAGGGAGTGTGTACTAAACACTTCTAGTTTAATAGCAATAACAATGTATTCCTGCCCTTGCCAAATTTGCATGTCACAACAACCCACTCTGGAAATTATCAGGGTCACCACAGGTTCTCCCCCCTCCCTGCTCTGCCAGTGCTCTTGTAGGTGTCCTGGGGACCCGAGGGGCAGAACTCACCCAGTCTCTTCTCTAATCACAACCATTTTGTTGTCCCCAAGCCACACCATGAAGTAGCTACTTTTTCCCACCAGAAAATTTAAAAACTTTTAAACTAATACAAACTTTCAAAAATGCTTTACTTTTTTCAGTACAGACACGAGTATGCAAATCCATCTACCCACAATGGAAATCCTTACCTGGTTAATTTCAAAACAGGAATCACCCATGAGCAATGACAAACCAAGTTTCAAACACATTACCTTCCTTTTCACTTGACAGAGCCAGGCAGGGTTTCTTTAAACAGGAACTTATGCAGCTATGATATCTGTGCCCTTGTCAAAAACCCAGTTTACTCCTATCAAAAAAGCCTGTTTTACAAGATAACTTCCAGTTTCTTTTAAAACTTTGCAAGCTAACTGCCTCCATAAATGGGATGGGCTCTCCTGGCATGGGAAAGGAAGGGGGTACACTATTTCACCTAAGTTAGTTCCAAAAAATAAATGTAGCATTCCTTGTTGTTGGCATCATTCTTATATAAGGAGGTGCTTATTCTATAACTAAACATTTGTATAGGCTGAGACACCGAATAACATTTTCTAAACTGTTACCATAAGTTTCAAGAAAACTTACTGTATACTTATTAAGTCATTATCTAAAGGAATATTCTGAAAAATGCAATACAAATTGCAATACCTATGCAATACATATATGCTGTAAGCTGCCAAGAGAGCCTATGGCTAGTGTGGTGGCATATAAACAGAACTGAATTTCTAGTATTAGTAATGCCACCAAACTAAAACAGTAATTTATACTAATAAAACATTCAAGCACTAAGATTACTTACATTTTCAAGTTAAAACAGCCTCCATATTTATGCCAACTTAAAAAAATGAAGAATGAAATTGTGCTAGTATTCTTTAATATAATTAAACAAGGTTCCATTTGCAGTTCTTGGAGCTACTTTCCAAGTTCATAGTGATGAACGATTCACACATAGCAACAATCCAGAGTACAGATTGAATATGGCATGTCACTGAATTGTGGCTTGTTATGTGCAGCTCCTGTGTTATATTTTAACTATGCATTAAACAATGACTGATCCAGAGTTCACAACCCAACAAGCCATGGCTGCAATGTTAAACCATAGTGTAGGATTTTAATGTAGCAATGATTCAACAACAATTCATACTCTAGATTATTCTATGAAAATCAGACTTTTGTATCAAATAGCATTGTTCATTATCACATTATTAGAATTTTTACCAGACACATAACAACTAAAAGTATCTGATAGTAGCACACTTCTGATCTAACCGTGGTATGTAAACAATTTCTATGCCTTTAAATCTAGAGGTTTGGGCTAAGGAGGTTATCTGGAGGTTTGGGCTGAGGAGTCATCCGTACACTGATGACAGCCAGCTTTACCTTTCTTTTACTGCTAATCCAGGAAAGGCAGTAGCCATCCTTAACCAGTGTCTGGCTGGTGTTATGGGCTGATGAGGGCCAATAAACAGGCTTAATCCAGACAAGACAGAGGTTCTGTTGGTAGGTGGTTCTGCTTTCCAGTTAAGTGTTTTTGTCCTGTTCTGGGTGGGGCTGCACTCTCCCTAAGGGACAGGGTAGTTTGGGAGTGCTCCTCGAACCAGAGTTATGCTTGGAGTTCCAGGTGACTGCTGAGGCGAGGAGTCCTTTCCTCCAGCTTTGGCTGATCCATCAACTACACCCTTCCTCATATGCTCTCCATCTCTGCTTGAGCAAAATGTATCCTTCCTAAGACAAAGTTTCAGATTGTTTATTTTATTAAGAGAAGGAACAACTTATCATAAACAACCACAGTTAGAAAACACAAAAGTTATCCTGAATAGCAACAAGAGTATAGAAATATTTCAGAATATTTTCCTCAGATTTCTGCAAATATCTACTGAGAATTTGGCCACGATCATCCAAGCAACATCCTGATATTGTCCCTGTAGAAAGCTATGCAATTCAGAATATTTCAAGGACATCAACCTAGTGTCCTCTGTGATTAACCCAGTTTTCCTTTCCATTTTAGTCAGATCACAACGTGATCCTATTCAGGGAGGGTTGTCCAGGTAGCAAGGACACATGTGAGGAGCCTTCTATGAGTATTAACTTTCTCTACATCCTGGCAATGGAGAAATAATGGTTGCTGCAGATGTTCTCTGTCTCTCTGTCTCTCTCTCTTTCTCACACACACACACACTCTTGAATGTTCCAGTTCTTTACAGCATTACAAAATCTAACAGAATTATCCCACTGGACTCACCTTTTTCAAACATCAAGAAACATTAACGCATAGTATTCTATGTGTTTCACTGTATAATGTTGCATTTCCTGGAAGATTTTGACTAGCCAATGCCATTAATACAACACCTCTAGCTAACATAACTGAAATGACCAGCACCACTGTGTTCTCTGAACTTGAAATGATGCAGAACCAGCATGTATAAAAGCATGCACATTTTGCAGTTCACTATAAAGTTATATTAGATGAGTTGCATTATAAAAAGATTTCTAAAATACTCACCTGTAACATACTGGCATCTGTACCAGACACCAAGGAAATCCCATTTCCCAATCCACTGTCCCAACAGTCTATCATGCTCAATCATTAAACAAAATGCTAGTATTTATGGCAGATATATCAAGCTCTACTCCATACAAGTTATCTTACCATCACCATTGAAACAACCAGAAAAACAGAATGTACTGTGCCAATACAGTGCTTTCTCTTTAGTCAATTAATAGTTTAACATAGTTTCAAAATCAATTAGTGTATGTCTGCATGGGTTCTTAATATGTTCCTACCTGGATACTTCAGTATTAAACTATAAATGACAAAGTAGTCAGTTTTTACTTCTATAAGGTAAAACATGATTCAGAGGAACCCAGTTGACACAACTCCTAGTTCTGAAAAACAGCAGCTAAAGTGAAGAGTCTGTTTACTGTGCAGAAGTGTGAACAACCAACATAGCCTGAGATCATAGTGTTATGAAGCTTGTGCGACTGAGGAAGTTCAACATCTAATCCAATTCCATATACCCTTAAGAACTTATGCCATAAAATAGCAAGGATTACACCCATCTAGAATGACTTATACTTGGAAACAATGTTTTCTGAACAAGCAACTTGGTCAATGAAATCTGACCTCCTCAACCTGATGTCCTCCAGATGTTTTGGAATTTAACTCTCATCAGCTTCAGCTAGCATGGTCAGTGGTCACTAATACAGGATGCTATAGACTAAAATATCAGCATGGCACCCAGCTGGGGGAAGTAGATGAAATCCCACTCATAGGAATGTTGAGGTTAGTTACTTGGTAACCTAACTCTATACATATTGAGTCTTACTATACAGTGGGATGATCCACACTACACAACCCCTTTCAGAAATACATTGCTGAGGTACTGATTTACCCAAACAGCTGAAGTACCTGGGCATTATCCAATTCCACAATCACTGCAGCTAACACTCCTTGATTAAGCCATGCTGGGCTGCAGTATGTGCCAGATGGTTTTTTAATATCTGAGCTGTGACTTACTGTGTTGTTCAAACTTGACTTGTAGAAATTGTGTGGTGGTTAAACAACCTTCCTATAACACCAGAACAGATCATGGAGTCCGCAAGGATTCTTTAACCCTCCCTCAAACCCCACTGCCCAGGTTTGGATAACATAAGCTGAGGCATGAACTTTTATAATTACTGTCTATAACCTACCACAGTGGTGACTTTTATGAACTTGTGCCCCATGTCAGCACACTGACTTTCAAAGTAAGTCCCAAGACTGAACCATATTGCTCCCTGCCTCAGCTTAAATCTCACCTCTACGGAGCTTTTCAAATGCTTTGAAGCAAAACAAAGAAGTGCAGCAAAAGTACAGCCAAGGTCAATCAAGGGCCAAGACAGAACAAGGAGAAAGGGATGGGAAGAAGACGTCTCTCGCCTTCCATTTCCTGGGGAAGCCATCCACTTACGGAGCTGTCCGGTGCCAGGCTCCTTCCCCGTTCCAGCTACCACGAGCATCCCAGGAGCTGCCGAAGCGGGCGGGGTCGGCGCCGGGGTACCAGCGCCGGCTCCACTCTGTCGTTCGAAGTTGCCCGGGTTGGAGAAATAGTCGCGCAGGCGGGGCAGCTCCCGGCCGCTTTCCAGCAGTTCTGTGTGCAGCTCCAGCGCCGTCAGCACGAACTGGTCCCGCAGCAGCTGAGCTGCCAAAGCGTCCACGGGCACCCGGGGCGGCTCCTCGGCCTGCAGGGGCGGGGGAGGCGGCGGCGGGGGCGGCGGCGGCGGCTGCTGAAGGGGCGGCGAAGACGACGTGCAGGAAGGGACCGGCAGAGGAGCGGCCAAGCCCCCGGGGTCGCTGCTGCTGCTGCCCCCAGGCCTGGTCTCCTCCGGGTCTGACTCCTCGGAGTCGCTGAGGAAGGGGTTCACTCCACCGCCCCCCACCGACGCCATCTTGGCAGAGGAAGCACCCAACGCCGCGCTGCTCAGAGCAAGCTCCCCAACCGAACTCCGTTACCACAGCAGCGAGCGGCAGCCCACCAATCACCCTGCTCCTTCCTCCGTACCTCCTTCCTTCCTTCCGCACGCCCACCCTCCAAGCTCACCGTTTCCGTGTAGCAACTCTCGCGAGAGTTTCGCGATGACATTTCCTTCGGCTGCGAATGACGCGGAAAACGCGAAAGTGGTTCCGCTGTCCTTAGATTTTTCGAAATCTAAGAAGGAAGAGTGGTGCTGCGCTTCTTTAGAGAGGGGACTTCCTGGTCAATTTTGGCTCGCCCGGTGCCCTCGGTGGAGTAAAAGAGCAAGTGCTGGTACTGGCAGTGGAGAAATAGGACTGTGGAGTAGCCGATGGTTCTCGCTTCCAAGAACGGCAAAAGCAAGCGCAGGGAGGCTCTCTCTTTCAGTACGTCTAACCCAATGCGATCATTGTTCGAAAGTAATGAGTTGCATTGGACTTACTCCCACGAAAGTGTATTGTACAGCATTGCAGGTTTTCTAATTTTGTCTCATTGCATTGAGAAAGTTTGCTATTGAATGAGGGGTGTCTGGAAATATTCGAATATTTTCAAAGGCAAATTTAATCCCTATTTATGTGATTCATGTTGTGTCATGGTGGTGGTTGTGGTAAGCGCTCGGACGGCACAGCTTATGACAGCCCTTCCTTGTACTCAATTATCGTAGCTCGGACAGATAACATCTAGTACTTCCGGCCAACCCTGCCCTGTTGTCCACTATCAGTATTTCAGGTAGAAGGTGAGAATGTGACTGAAGGGTTTATAACACCCCTGCAGTGTAGCGTAGTGATATCACAGAGGAGAGAATGCATGAGAGCCAAATGAAAACCCTGCCTTCCAGTCCAGTGTTATGGAAACTGGACCACCTAAGACACCAACCTTCCACCATCTCGGAACATATAGGAAAGTATTAGTTGGAGCAGGGCTGCATATGCTCTTTTCTACAACACCTAGGATTGTTAAGCAATTGTTTGATATGCTGCAGCTGTAGTGGGGACAAGACTTCCCTCCTTTTGTCACTTTCGGTTTTGGATTATCAGCAGGGTGGGAGCCCCTTAACAAAACGCACCTGAAGTTTAGCAAAGGTAGATGGTCACATCGGCTGCTCCTGGAAACTCTCGCCCTGTGAGCCTAAAGCCTGCACTCATCTGAATGCATCTGCTGTGGCCCAGGTTTAGCACTGTATCAGTCAAATGTTATGGCTTCAGTTCAGATCTGGAAATTCTCTAATAAACTTCATGGGGCATAGTTCTGACCAGATGTGCATAGGGTTCTGTATTCCATTGCAGGAGCATCTATAAAACAAGCAGGCTGTAAAATGGACTGTTCTATCCTTTTGAGAAATTCTATACGGCAAATGCCACTCTTTTTCCTTTATATATTACCTGTTTACCTGTTAAAGAAGACAGGTGCTGATTAGAGAGGTGTGGAGGGAATGCTGTACCTGTTTGGATGGGCATCTCCCAACCATAGAACTGTGAACAGGTGCCCCTTCCTCAGCATCGAGGAGCCCACAATCCTTTTCATGCAGTCCAAAGCACTATGGTGTCTGAGGTGCTTGATGGAGCTGTGGAGTGCTTGCTTTTGAATGTAAAACTAGCAAGCCTGACCCCCTATATCCACCACCACCCTGACATGGCATAAGTTCTGGTGGAGGTAGGCTTGGCTGTAGGAAAGCCATTCCTGTAGGAAAGCCATTGGTTCAGTGGTGCAGTTATGTCATTTTAAACCCTGGACTTCTTTGATCTCATACCCCCTCCATCCCACTTTAGAGGGTCATGTGTGCTGCCCCACACATTACGTTCCTTCCCTCTGAAGGGCATGAGGTCGGGGAAAGCTGTGTTAGCAGAGCAACAAAGTGACTTCCCACTGCTGTTTGAAAACAAAAGCAAAAAGCCTTTCAGCATATGCATTTGTTTCCTCTGAACTCACTTTAATGGCAGCATCTGTGGTGTGGGGGTGAATTTTGAACTGCAGCCTCCAAGGAAGGTCCAGCATATCAGGTTGTATTCTTGATACGGATCAACAAACCAATTCTGGCACTTTTCATCTTCACCAGGAGGAGACGTTGTCGGGTCTCAGTGGCCAGTTTGACCAAGCCACCAAAGCAGGCAGCAGTGGGAGGACAGATGATGTCAGTATTCCAGTGAAGAATAACACAGTGCTACCACTGCACCCCTTCAAGCCCTGGCTCTGCCAAACCCTTCCTCTGCAGTATTAGGACTACAGGAATAAAACAGAGTTGCTTCAGCTGACCTGTTGCCTTCATCGACTGCTGTTCTCTGGTTGTTTGGGCTTCAAGGCTTCGGGACTGCAAGGCTCTGAATTGAACCCCAAAGCCCAGGCCTAGCTTTACCACTGTATTGTCCTCATAATAGCAAGGTGGGTGGTGACAGTCTGAGTGAAATGATTTGGCTGCATGGAAGACTTCTGGGAAATCTGTACCTTAGGTGCTTCTCCGTCCTCCATTATTCTGTTGTTGTTGTTATTGTTCCTATACCTCCCATAGCTAAAGCTTTCTCCACAGTTTACAACAAGGTATAAAAACAATAAAGTACAATAGATAAAAACGTTAAGAATTAACATTTAAATGCTATTTAAATTAATTGTTAACAGACAATAAGAAGGCCTGGCCAAGAATAAAAGAAAGGCACCTGGATAATCATGTCAGGCCCATGAATGACCAGGGAGGTCTTTAAAGGCCTCTGCAAAGACAGCTCTCTTAACCTGGCACCAAAAAATGGCAAATGTGGTGCCAGGGGGCCACAGTGAAGATGGGGGAGGCACCACAGAAAAGGCCCTCCCCTTAGTTGCCACCTGACAAGCATCTCAAGTGTTAGCACCCGGAGGAAGGCCCCAGAGGATAAGTGTAGTGTCAGGTCGATCAGGGTTGGGAGAAGCACTCTGACAGATATTGCCATCCCGAGCCATACAGGGCTTTATAGGTTAACACCAGCACTTTGAATGGCGAACAGAAGCATACAGGCAGCCACCACAGGCAGGAGGAGGCCTGGCAATGTGGGCCATCGTGAGACACTGAGATAAGAAGAAATGCTTATCTTAAGTCTAGACTCCGTAGGTGGGCAGGCAGCCTCTGGAAATAGCCAAGATGGATGCTTGGAGGGAGGGAACTTGGAGCAGGGGTGTTTTTCAGACACAGACAAGGTGGCCTCAGCTCTTGACCCCATGACTCATCATCCGTAGAGGAGGGCAGCCGAATTAGAGGATTGGTGTGCAGAGAGGAGGTGTGCTTGTTTTCAGAAGGACCCTCTCAAAGGGATGGGAGTCCAGGCATGCTCATAAGGAGAGTTCCCAGAGGTGAATACTAGATTGGGTTGAACAAATGGTTCCATGCATGCTCAGGATTCATTCAGCGTGTTTTGTGCCTTTTGGTCAATAAAAACACTTGGCAAGGATACGGTCTGTGGCTTTGAAAGCACAAAGGAGGAGCCTCAAATCCTGACATGCAGCATCATCTTTTGACAATGAAAAGGAGAAAAAAGCTGTGTGTCATCAGCATGCTGATGGCAATGCATTCCAAAACTTTAGATGACTGCCATTCCCTGCCCCGTAATATTTTGGCAATTATTTTGAAATGAAGAGAGCAAAATAACTGTTTCTATATGTCATCGGCAGAGTATTTCTATCAGGGACTGAAAATTATTGTTTTAGTTATAATACAATTCTGTATTTGAGTTGTGTTTTCTAGATAGGGATAGGATTGTTGCAGAATCCTCTTGCACTAATGATTCAGAATGTTACTGCATGCAGAGGATTTATGCTGCCCCAAGCTGGTGGAATTCTGCCACTGCAAAGAGCAAAAGAGAGCATGGAACTGGCAGCCTGGCAGAGGCAGAATAGAATATTGTGTCAGAATCCTCTACTCGTTGCAAGGCTGGTTCAAGAATGTGGTATTAGGCATGTAAAAAATGCATAAGTAAAACAGCTCCCATTTATAGACTTGTGGAGAGCCCCAGATGACTGCCCTGCTTCCATCTCCTCAGCAATATCCAAGAATAAATTCCAAGGTAATGTAAGAACCAGCCATGGAACATTTCTAGGAAGATAATGCAGCTGGGCATGGAGCTACATCACTGTGCCTTTGGAACTAGAAACTTATGCATGGAAATAATGGTGGTAGAAAACTTTTGTGAAAGTGTACTCTGTTATCTATGCCAAGTTCTTACTTGGTACTAACAAAACGCTCCATTCCAGTGCTGTCATATATGCTCACCAAGAGGTTCAGCTCCATTATAGCAACTGAGGCTGCAAGGACAAGGTTCCCCCCCCCACACACACACACACTCACACAGGTAAGCCAGGGAGAATCCTCTGGGTGGAAATGATGGACTTGTATGTCCATCTTTCAGGGTGGCAAGGCAAACAAACTGTAACGGAAAGGATCTTAAGTCACTGGAGGAGAGGCAAGGATTAAGAGATGGAACCAACCAGCCTAGTGAAGAAAGCTGGTTTGGCCCAGGTGGCCAGGGCAGGGACCTGCTGGTGCTGAGGTTAGGTTGTGAGAGGAGGAGAGCTGAAGGCCTGAAGATTTACGAGGTCCAGAAATGGATAGATTGACTTTATCATTGAAGGAGAAAGAGGATATTGACTTCTATCAAACTTGGGACTCTTTCTGTAATTGGCTGGAGAAACGGGACTTGGCATAATTTGAATTTGATTTTAGAATGTTAAAAAAAATGTGTGTGTGTGTGTGTGTGTGTGTGTGTGTGTGTGGTAGGGGTTTGATCCAGTGAATCCGATGTATGTGATATTTGATGTTTTTAGTGTTAGTTTAAAACTTTTAATAAAATATATATATAAAAAATAAGATTTACAAGGTCAGATACCATCTTCCCAGGGAAGAATGCCAGGCGGAGGTGAGGGAGATGATCACCATAAACCAAATGGTCTTGTTGATCCAGTGCTCCTTAGAGGGCAAATAGTTTAGATTCTTGGGTGACATCCTAGAGAACAAAGGGTTATGATTGCTCGAGGAGGGGATAAAAAGGAACGCTGGCGTCCAGATTGTTGTGCCTCACAGGTAGGAGGAGGAATGCCAGCTGCCAAAAGCTTGAGCCCAGGAGTTCAGGACTGCTACTTCTGAGGAGACCAGTTTGATACAGTGAGAGTTATTAGGTTTTTAGCTCAGTTAGTGTTTGTTGTTTTAGAGTCTGGGATGGTCAAACAACCCTGAGGGGGTGAATATCTGAGATTGTACTGTATCGACACAAAGCTACTACCTCACCCTTTTATCCCCTTTTTCCTTCCTTTAACTCTGAGTAGCCGAAGTTACCGGCTGGAGCCAGGGGTCAGACTAGATGGCCCGGGAGGTCCCTTCTGATTCGCTCTGTTTCTGTGTTTCTATGTGTCTCTCTGTGTGTGTTGTAGTCTAATAAAGATCCTTCTCCCCCAAGACTTGGGGGTTCTTGTGCTGGTTGAGTGCTGCTTTTTTGTTAAGGGCCAGCATTAAGCTTTTCTAGTCTCGGGGGCTGTCGGAAGGTGGGGAATTTCAGCAGCATTGGTGGGGGGCAGCTTGCCTCACCTTTGCAATGGTCCTGGCCGGAGAGTATTTCCCATTCTTCTGCAACATGGGGATGCCACAATAGGTCAACATCTATTCCGCAGGTTGTAGCAGTTTTTCCACAAACAGTATGCAGGATCAGCATGCTATTTACAGTAAGGGCAGGTCTTAATGTTACAAGCCCAGGTGAGTTCCCACTATACACCAAGCTCATCTATGGCTACTGCTGGCTAAACACTCATGACACTATTTTTCTTGCAGGATCTGAAGAAGCAGCACAAATAATCACAAGGGACTGTGTGTGTCTTTGCATTGCATTAGTAAGTATTATCTTAATTATACCATTATTACGTGCAAGATAGACTTATTTGGAGACCGCCAGGTTGTTGCATACACAGCGGGAGAAGGGAAGTCCAGCCAAAGCATGCACAATGTAAAAAGGATGTTGGTAGAAACATCTCTTTTTGGATACCCTTTCCATGAGCCACCAGCCACAGGTTCATGCGTATCACAGCAACCCATCATGGCTAACTAAATGCAGTGGTTTGCTTTGTTCTGTGAACCTGAAAAGCTTTCCACAGGATAGCTTGTTTTAGAACATCAAACTACCTTTGCAACCTCTGGCTTGTTGTAGGGCTGGTGGACCCATGGAGGGCCGTCACGGCATTCAAAGCCAGGTGACTCATCCCATCATGAGTCCAGGGAAGCGGCAAGCAAAGTGCTCCATTTGCCACTCCTAGCAAGCTTGCAAGAACATTTTGGCACTTCCAAACTACCCTCCCCACCATTACAGAAATAGTTTCTGCACATTTCTAGTGCCTAAAAATATTTTATAAAAAGGTGACAAAACTGAGGCAGCTGCTCCAATGTGCTATTTGGGTACTTTGGACAGGCTGTCACTGGGAAATACTGCAAAAAGAGGGAAAATGCAGCAGTAGTAGCAGTAGCTGAAAATAGGTCATGATCAGAGTGGGGAAAAGAGGCAAGAAAGGTTCAGCAGCCAAGAGAAAAGAATGTGGCAGGGGCACCTTTCTGTTTCGTGCATCATAGGTTAAGGGTTGTTCCACAAGCAACCCATCCTGTGCTGCTTATTCACAGGGTGGATTACCGTGCGTTTCCCACCCATGCATCGTCCAACACTACTTGTTAGGTATGGCTCTCCCTGTATGTCTCCTCTTTTTTGGCAACCACTCAATGCTCTGGAGGCAAGGATCTTCCGAACCCCTTTTGCCAGCCTTCCCAAACCTGATGCCCTCCGGAAATTTGGAAGACAGTTCCATGAATGATGATGAGTCATGTTGGCTGGAGTTAATGGGAATGGTATCTGGGGCACCAGACTTTGGAAGGCTGCTTTATGCCTTCCCGACCTCAGTCAGGGCCTACAGTGACCTGGGTGTGAACATTGTATGCTCTTGCAGGACTTTTGCATCCTTTTGGCGTGCATGATAGAATTATACCTGGCATACCACTAAATAGCATGGAAATGTAGTGACAGAGGATACTGTACTGTGTGGTCTTCTGTACATTTTTCAAGGCACGGAGGTCCCACAAGAACAAAAATGCTGCAATTCCATGGTTCTGTGATGCCATCAGGGCTAGTTTTGTAGTTTCGTCAGGAAAAATTATGGCAGTTGCAGCTCTATCAGCTTTTATAATGGATGGCGGATAGAAAATGTCCGCTTCTAGGGTGTTGATAAATTACAATGGGAAGGAGGCAGTAGGTCTTAAGAAAAAGCCATGCTGGATCAGATCAATGATGCATCTGGTACAGAACTCTGTTCACACAGTGTCAAACCAGATCCCCAAACGATCTTTCAAGGAGGATGAATACAAGAGTTCTGCCTTCCCAAGCCCCTCAGTTCCTGGGAAGAGGCGAAGGTGGGTGATCGTCGTTGGGGACTTCCTGCTGAGGGGCACTAAGGCAGCGGTGTGCTGCCCCAACCTTGAGGCGAGGGAGGTCTGTTGCCTGCTGGGCACACGCATCCAGCAGGTGAAGGATAGAGTAGAGCATCTTGTTCACTTCAGGGGTCACCAGCCACTTCTGGTGATCCATGTGGGGACGAATGACATAGCCAGGCAGGGCGTGGGCGGGATCATCAGGGACTTTGAGGCCTTGGGAAAGAGACTCAGGGACCTAAAGGCCCAAGTGGCCTTCTTATCTATCTTACTGGTCCGGGGATTTGGGCCAGCCAGGGAAAGGAGGGTTGCCGAGGTGAATGACTGGATTAGGGTGTGGTGCCAGAAGGAACGCTTCTGGTTCCTCGACAACAGCACCCGGTTTCTTGCCAATGGACTTCTGGCAAGGGACGGGTGTCACCTAATGAGGATGGGGAAATGTTCTTTCAGAAATGCTCTAGTGAGCTTTGTCTGGAAGACTTCAAACTGAGCCGGGGGGGGGGGGGTCAGGCCCCCCAGAAACTTGTCCTCACTATACAAGTGTGGGGAGAGGATCAGGGCTCTGGGACCAGGATGTTAGAGGTACTGCAGGGGCTGACAGGACTCCTACGAAGAGGAGGCCAGTATCAGGGAAGATGGGAGGAAGGAGGAGGCTAGGGACTCCAAAGAAAGAAAGCTGTGGGAAGGAGTTGAGGTGCATGTACACCATTGTTAGGAGCATGGATAATAAGCAGGAAGAGCTTGAAGCTCTCCTGAGAATAGGAGGGTATGACTTGGTGGGGATTGTGGAAACTTGGTGGGATGAAAGACAAGACTGGAATGTAAACATAGTGGAGTACCACCTGTTTAGAAAGGACAGAAAGGGAATTGCGACCCATTGCGACCCCATGAAGAACATTCCTCCAGGCCTTCCTGTCCTCCACCATCCCACAGAGTCCACCTAAGCTCACACCGACTGCTTCATCTAGTGACTTCATCTAGCCACCTCATTCTCTGCCATCTCCTTCTTCGTTTGCCCTTAATTGTTCCCAGCATTAGGCTCTTCTCCAGTGAGTCCTTTCTTCTCATAAGGTGGCCAAAGTATTTGAGTTTCATCTGACCTTCTAAAGAGCAGTCGGCGTTGATCTCCTCTAGGACTGACTGGTTTGATTGCCTTGCAGTCCAAGGGACTCGCAGGAGTCTCCTCCAGCACCACAATTAAAAGGCCTCAATTCTTTGGCGCTCAGCCTTCCTTATGGTCCAGCTTTCACAGCCATACATCTAGTCTAGTTTTATTGAGTGAGTTTCAGTTGTACAGCTCGAGGATATGGACAAGGTGCTTGGTCAGGTTCATGCAACCATCTCTGTACTGGATCCTTGCCCTTCCTGGCTTATAAAAGCCAGCAACAAAAAGATAACCAGCTGCACCTGGGAGGTAATCAATGGCTTTTTGCAAGAGGGAGTGGTCCTGTGTTGCCTAAAAGAGGTGGTGGTGAGACCACTTCTGAAGAAAACCTTCATTGACCTAGAAAATTTGAACAACTGCAAGTCAGTATCAAATATTTCTTACCTGGGGCAAGGTTCTAGAGAGGGTGGTTGCCAGTCAACTCCAGGCACTTTTGGATGAACTGATTATTTGGATCCATTTCACTCAAGGTTCAGGCCTGGCTTTTGGCATGGAAACAGCCATGGTCAGCCTGTATGATGACCTACACCAGGAGGAGAAAGACAGGGGGAGTGTGACCCTGTTGACACTGCTGGACCTTTTGGAGGCTTTCGGTACCATTGACCATTCTGGAGTGGCTGCCAGAGATGGGAGTGAGGGACAGTGACACTGCTCCTACTTGGAGAGCCATCTCCAGAAGGTGGTGATTGGAACCCCATGGATTCTCAGGCACGGAGCTGCTCCAGGATCTGTTCTGTCCCCCATGCTATTCCACATCTACAGGAAACCACTGAGTGGAGTCATCTGGAATTTTGGCATGTGTCGCCATCAGGATGCTGCTGATGTGCAGTTCTATTCCTCCTTTTCATTGTTGGCAGGTCAGGCTGGGGATGTGTTAAACCCTTTTCTGGCTACAATAATGCACTGGATGAAGGCTAAGAAACTGAAACTCAATCTAGATGAGACTGAGATGCTGTTGGTGGGTGATTCTTTTGTGCAGACCAGATGGTGGGGGGGGGTGCAACCTGTTCTGGAGAGTGTTGCACTTCCCCTGAAGGAGCAGGTTCATAGCTTGGGGGTGCTCCTTGATCCATCTGTGTCACTTGAGGCTCAGGTGGCATCAGTGGCTCAGAGTGCTTTCTACCAGCTTTGGCTGCGCCCCAGCTGCGCCCCCCCCCCCCACCATCTGGTTTCAGTAATCTGTGCTCTGGCAATCTCTAGATTAGATTACTGCAACACGCTCTATGTAGGGCTGCCCTTGAAGATGGTTCAGAAGCTGCAGCTGGTGCAGAAAGTGGCAGCCAGACTAATAATTGGGACCCAGTGGTCTGAACATATAAGACCGGTTCTGGCCCACCTGCAGTGGCTGCCTGTATGCTTCTGTTCGCCATTCAAAGTGCTGGTGTTAACCTATAAAGCCCTGTATGGCTCGGGATGGCAATATCTGTCAGAGTGCTTCTCCCAACCCTGATTGACCTGACACTACACTTATCCTCTGGGGCCTTCCTCCGGGTGCTAACACTTGAGATGCTTGTCAGGTGGCAACTAAGGGGAGGGCCTTTTTTGTGGTGCCTCCCCCATCTTCACTGTGGCCCCCTGGCACCACATTTGCCATTTTTTGGTGCCAGGTTAAGAGAGCTGTCTTTGCAGAGGTCTTTAAAGACCTCCCTGGTCATTCATGGGCCTGACACGATTATCCAGGTACCTTTCTTTTATTCTTGGCCAGGCCTTTTTATTGTCTTTTAATGTTTAAATGCCATTTAAATTAATTGTTAATTCTTAAAGTTTTTATCTGTTGTACTTTATTATTTTTATACCTTGTTGTAAACTGTGGAGAAATCTTTGGCTATGGGAGGTATAGAAATGAAATTAATCATCATCATCATCATCATCATAAAAAATTTAGCTAGCAGTACAAGTTAGCTCAATCAACAATGACACGATTTTAGATTCAGAAGCATTCAGTTTAGCTGAGTCATAGAAACTTGGCAGTCCTGTGCTCTTGTCCAGTTGCAGAAGTCACGTGCTAGCTTATTATCTGTGCCTCGTAACACGTGTTAAGTCAGAATTCCCTGATTTAGACTTAACAAGGCTCTCTGAGTTAACTAGCAGCCAGGATGCTAACACCAAAGTTGGTGAGTAGTGGTGAAAAGGGCATATGGCCTTGGTGCTTCTTCATAGCTTCACAAAATACGATCATAAATTGAGCCACTACCATCAATATTTCATTTTATCTGGAAGTCCGCAGTTAATTGTGTGTGTGCAAAGTAACAACAAAGTGAGTCCCTCAGGCTTGACCTTTCAGTCTACCATGTTATGTGTCTTTGGGGACACTTTGTGGTGGCCTTAACCATATTCTGAGTTACAACTTCTGAGAAATTTGCAGGCATTGCTATGTGGAGTTTTCTGTCTTCAGGGGCTGCCTCTGAGGTTGGGCTGAATATCCTAGGCTGCCATCAAGAAAATTTAATAGGAAATTCAAAAGATGTTATCTTAAAGATGCAGCACAGATGCTTCATGACCTACAAGCCAGAACAGCAGATAATAATTTTTATCCCTTGGCGATTTTGCATAGGAATTGCTGATGCAGAAGGTTAGCTTGATAAGTTGAATGATATGAAATAGAATATTTAATTCTCAGGGACCTTTTTGCCTCAGGTTTTCTTCTGCATTCCTGAGCCACATCTACAATTTAAAACAGATGGCATTTGTTATTGTAATGTACAAAACACTCAATGGAAATCTTGTGTATAAGTTAATTTTAAAAATGCTGTGAGTTACCAAAACTTATTTAAATATAAAAGCTTATAAAAATTATCTTACATGACAGTTCATGCATATCGTGCAAATTTATTCATATCCCTTTTCTTATCAGAGTAAGCGGGAAGAGTGCACTCTGTCCAGAACATTTTTATTTTTTTTAGCCATGGTGCAGAACTGTAATACTGCTTTGGTACTCTTATACAGCTTAGAGAAGATTATTCCAGGTACATGAATGCAATCTCAAAACTTGGCTAACCTAGGAGCATGTTCATAATGCTGAACATTATGGTACATTCAGTTTAATATTTTAACATACTGTACCAAGCCAACATTTCCCTCTGCTTTCCATTTATTTATGGATGAGCTGTTTCATATTTTTTGACAGTCTAACTTAAGGAATACGTAAAACATTTTTGTAAACCTGTCAGCTAGAAAAATAGCTGCTAAGTATATACCCCTTGCTAATATGTCTGCCATGACACTTAAGTTTTTTGAAAATGTGTTTTTCATAGAGTCTCTTGAATTATATGCAGTAAGCATAGGATGCGCACTGGAGCATGGTTCATCTGGAGAAGAGAACTGAAGTATTTTTTTGTGACTTGACACTTTAAAATATACATTGCAATAACACTTTGTCTGTGATTCTCCATGTATTGAAAACATAAATAGAAATGGGAAGCAAATGGTTGCATATATCATAAAGATTTATATTGTGGTCTTTATTTTAAAAAGGCAAGTTCAGCATCCTCAACATTGTGAGCTTGAAATGTTTAAAGAGCTGCAGTGTTAAATATGGTGGCTTTGGGGAAAGCTAGGTCTGCATTTTGCTTCATTATGTTGACATTTCCATTAATCTTGGAGGACCTTATTCAGCAGAAGACTACAGGTTCTGCAGCAGGCAGAAATCTCCACAGGCAGTAGACTGAACAGCATTATTGGAAGGAAGAGAAGAAAGACGTCCTCTTATTGAGCAGTAATGGAGCCTCCCTGGGAAGAGGAGACTTCCTCAGATGACTTTATTCTCCCCATTCCTCCGCCACTGCTGCCTCTGCTGCCCCACAAACACACATGCTTTGTTGTGTGCTATGCAAAAGGTTGGATTAGGGCCAGCCGCCATTTGCACAGGAGTGGCTGGCGCACTGGTAAACTGCAGGAGGTTGAGTGAGGAGTCAGTTCCAGCCCAAAGAGGAAATTGTTTCGTTGACTGGTGTGAACCACCTTCCTGAAAGTATGGTTGAGTGCGCCAGAAAACTTCCTAGATGGGCTGGCATAACAGTATAGGTGGCTCTGGCCCTTTCAGGAGCATGGGATGACTGTGGACCATTCATATGGCAGGTCCCATGCTTGTGCGTTCAGGAAAACGGATCTGAACAATGCTTCTTGGATGGAGTCAGCTGTGGTAGCTGGCATGACGGGGCAAATCCCGAGCCGCTAATACTGTTGTTATATTACACTTACATCCTGCTTTTTTGTCCTTTATAAGGAATCCAAGGTGAATGACATAATCTCTTTCCCCCAGTTCATTTTATCCTCATAATAACCTGGTAAGGCAGTTTAAGTGACTGGCCTACAGTGAGCTTCATGGCTGGGTGAGGACTAGAACTCTGAATTCCTGAGTCCCAGTCCAGCTCTTCAACCACTGTCCCACACTAGCTTTCACTGATGTGCGCTGTCTTGAAAATTGTAATATCTTAGGATTCTGGTGCGCAACCAAGCAAAAATTAAGAGAAGTGACACGTAAAACAGCTATAGCCGCCATCTTCTTTTCTCCAGAATGTTTGTGGCCCACTAGAGCATTCTGGGAAAATGACAATGGTGGTGGCTGCTGCCGTTGCTTTGGCCAGTGCTTCTTTTCCTAGTGCCATGCTCCACTTCCTCCTGGTAAGCTGATTTCATGGGGACTCTCCAGTTGTGTGTTGCGGAGGGCACTTCTGTGCTAAAGCATGCTTAAATCTGGTTTTGTCTCTGAGCTTGTAGAAGCATTGGCTGAGAAAGCAGACATCCCAATAGAAGTCTGTTTTAATGGAAATTCAGGAAAGCCCCCCAAATATCTATGCAGAGGTAGAGTTTTCTCACCAGAAAGCTTACCCTCAGTGCTTTGTTTGCTCCCTATGTTTTTGTGCATTTCTCTTTATTTTTTCTTTTGCTTTTCATCAGTGAGAAGAGTAGCAAGTCTAAGATGGGATTTTTTAAAAAAATGTGTGATAAAATTGTATAATCCTCCAGGGATTTCTCCTGGTAGAATCATGGTCTTTAATTGAATTGCTGCACGTAAAGTTTGTCGTACATGTGTGCATCTATGGAATTTGATAGTGTTGCAACCGATTGCCTGTCTAACCTGTAATTATTTTTTTCTTTTAGCGTTGAACTCTTTTCTGACAACATATCGCCATGAATATGCAAATCTTTATCGTTTCTGGTCTCCTGGTACATTGTGTGTTCCTGATCTCTATTTTTGACATTTACTTCACCTCTCCTTTGGTCCATGGCATGACGCCCCATCAGACTCCCTTGCCCCCTCCTGCACGGCGCTTGGTGCTTTTTGTCGCAGATGGTCTACGTGCAGATTCCCTTTTTGAGCTGGATGACGCAAACATGTCTAGTGCTCCTTACCTTCGGTAACTTCATTCTTCTTCAGTTGTCTTGATTATGGAATAAATGTCTAGTTTAGCCCTGAGGTCAAAATGATGTCAGCTGCTTATTTTAAGGATGCAGGTGGTGCAGTGTTTAAACCGCTGTGCTGCTGGGCTGGTAGATCGAATGGTTGCTGGTTCGAGTCTGCACAATGGGGTGAGTTCCCGTCGCTGCATCCCAGCTCCTGCCAACCTGTGCAAATGCAAGTAGATAGAAAGGTACCACTTTGGTGGGCAGGTAACAGCGTTCCGTGCACTTCGGTGTTTAGTCATGCCGGCCACATGACCACGGAGACTGTCTGCGGACAAACGCTGGCTCCCTCGGCTAGGAAACGGAGATGAGCACCACCCGCTAGAGTCAGGCATGACTGGATGTAACGTCAAGGGGAAACCTTTACCTTTACCTTTTTACCTTTACTATATGCTAGTTTTCACAATTTCAGAAATGCCCAAATGTGATCTATAAAGTATTAATGGGAAGGCTGTTTTGCTGTGAACATAATCCTAAACCACAGTTTAGTGCTCTGGCAACAAGCCTGGGCAAGGCTAGGCTTGCATGGTTTCCCTTCTCTGTGCTTCTTTTCCTATGTGACCATGAGGTGGAGATCAGAAGTCCTCATTTCCAGGACTAAATAACAAGAGCTTATTGTTACATCTGAACTTGGAGCACCCTGGTTAGGTTAAAGTTTAATTGGTGAATAAGCCAGAATCAGAACAATAGTTTGATCCTAGGTGTTTTAACAACCCATAATGTAACCATTGTTTGTCCTTGTCAGATGTAATGGGTAACTAGGTTTAGTCTAAAAATAGGAGTGTCACACTAATGGAGGTCACTTGCTTAGACTTGTTCCCATGGCTGTAAACTATGGCTTAAACATGCAGACCAAGTTACTAGCTTACTTTCCCAATTTTACTTTAGATGTGTTTAGTTCAAATTGATCTATGACATTTGTCAACTTCATTAGCAACAGCACCATTACTTATTTTATTTCTATACCATTCAGTAGCTGAAACTCCCCAAGCAGTTTATAGTAGCACAAAAATGCAAGATAAATATTGATTAAAGGGGAAACATGATAATATTATATTGCAAAATTTAAAAGCCAAATGTAAAAGCAAAACTAACCCGTTGCAATAGCAAACACAAATTAAATCGTAAGACCTGTTAGAGAACTGGCACAACACCTCCCATATATTATACCATCACCTTTGAAAGCTACAAATTCCTGTGCACATTTTATTTTTATTTCTGACTTTCAGGAATATCATAATCTCCGAGGGCAGCTGGGGAGCTTCTCATACTCGTGTCCCAACAGAATCTAGACCTGGGCATGTAGCACTCATAGCTGGATTTTATGAAGATGTCAGTGCTGTTGCCAGAGGTACGCTGAGTCTGTTTATCTCAATAAAACCTTATCCGAGCATAAGAATATTTGCCCACTAAAACAAGACTATGGTTTGTATCCCAAGGTACATTAACTTAACTTCATGTACGGACAGTTGCCCCTTCTTTTCTGTCCTCAAGTGTTTTTGGAGGGCCCATGGGTATCCTCTGAATGAAGTGGGGTGTGTGGAGGTACTGAGGAAGGAGGGAATTTACCCCAAATCAGGGTTCCCAAATAGGAACCCTATCCCTCCAGAAAAAGATTTTCAGAGGGTGCAGGGGGCAGGTGAAGGGGAAAACATGAACCTTTCATTCCTTAGTTCAAGCATCTATCATTCTACTAATTTTAACATGGGGGAAAATGGCACACCCTCTGCCGCGTAAAAGTGTGGGAACAAGATATATTCATTGTAAAGTTATGCTGGGTTCATTCAAACTTTATTTCAGCTCAGCAGAAAGCTGACACTGATGCCCACATTGTTCCTCACTAAATGGTATTTGCAAGTTGTGGAAGCTTTTATGCATACAGGTTTAACAAAAACTGAACTATTACAAGCATTATCTTTGAGTCTAGTTTTCATTGCACACTGGCTTGTTGAAGTAGTACATGACGATGTTGGCACCACAATCCCACAAGTCTCTGCTAATTCTCATTGGGTTCAAGTGGGACTTACCCCCAGATATGTGGGTATGGGATTGCATGCCACATAACTGTCAATTTTGTATAAATATTTGAGAAGTAGTAGATGTTTTTCTTTCATATCTGCGAAAAGATGAACCAGGAATGGCCAACCATTCTTGTAGGAAGCCTGATACCAAATCACATCCAGAATTTTCCCTTGGATTTACAATGGAACTATTTATCTCTGGCCAACAGGATGGAAGGAAAACCCAGTGGAATTTGATTCTCTTTTCAATGAAAGTAAATACACTTGGAGCTGGGGAAGTCCAGATATTTTGCCTATGTTTGCTAAAGGTAAGCATGTTTTAGTCTTGTTGGTGCTTCACTTATGAAATATTAAAGTCATGGTGCAAAATGCAGCAGCTGGAACAAGCGCTTTGAAGTTTGTTCCAGAAAGGGCAACTTTTGTGGGGCAGAAAAATTTGGCAATCATTTTGCCTAGTGGCAACCCTGCACTCTGTAGTAAATACTCTCCTGATAAAGACCTGGTATTGCTTAAAACACAGTGGGGTTCTTGATGACTTTTCAATAAATCTATACACAGCACCTTGCAGAAGTATTCACCTCCTATGGCTTTTCCACATTTTGTTGTGTTACAGCCTAGAATTGAAATGGATTGAATTGGCTTTTTTTCAACTTCATGTACACAAGATGTTCAACTTCGTAAAGGTGTACAATATTTTTAATGTGGCACAAAAGTTAAGTAAACAAAAATCAACTGTTGGTTACATGAGTATTCATGCTCTTTGCTGTGACATGACTAAATACGCTCTGGTGCAAGCCATGGCTTCCAGAAGTCATATTCTGTAAGTAGTTAAAAGGTGTCCACCTGGGTGCGATTCCAGTGCCACAAGATCTCAGATTAAATACACCCATTTCTGGAAAGCCCAGAGTTTGTTGGAGAGCATATTTAAAGAAACAGCATCATGAAGACCAAGAATATCCCATATTATGAACTGGGTGGTGCAAAGCCAGCAGTGCTGATTGCCATGAAAACACTGTCCCTATGACGAAGCTTGGTGGTGGCAGCATCCGGTTGGCAGGATGAACTGAGAAGCTTGACAGGATTGAGGGCAGGATGGGCTGAGTCAGATACAAGGCTATAGTAGAAGAAAACCTACTTCAGTTTGCAAGGAACCTGAGAACAGAGTGGGGATTCACCTTCCAGCTGGACAAGACACAGCTAAAGCAACACCGGAGAGATTTAGAAACAAGAACCTGAATATCTTAGAATGGACCCATCTGATGAGAATTTGTGGCAAGATTTGAAAGCTGTTGTTCACCAATGGTCCCCATCTGACCTGACAGAGCTGGAGCCAGGAAGAACAAGCAAGCATTGGAGGATCCCGATGCATGAAGTTGATAGAAACTTGCCCAAGAAGAGTTGCAGTTGTAATTGCTGCTGAAGGTGCTTCTACCAAGTGTTGACTCAGGGGAGTGTATACTTGTGCAACCAGTGAGTACTATTTGTTTACGTTGTTGTGCCACAATAATAAAAAAAATCAGCTTCACAGTGGAATTCATTTCATTTCCAGATTATAATGCAACAAAATGTGGAAAAGGCAAAGGGCAGGGGTGAAGGCATCTGCAATGCTTTGTATGTTTTCTGTGTGCATCTGTGTATTTTTTATTTTATTTATTTTTTGTTATCTAGGCTGCTTTTGTGGGTTTTTTGTTCATTTTTAAAATGGTAGCTTTTTAAATGTAGCAACAAGCTTTGCGGAAGACAGCCCTTCTCATATTGCCCCTGCTGAGATTGGAAATCCTTCCACCTGCTCATGGAAAGCAAAGTGGCCATTGAAAACGAAGGCATGAGGGATCTTTTGCAAACAGCAAAAACAGCAAGATCCTTCTCTTCTGGCATTGTTCCTCTTTGTTCTTCATGGGAGGACAGACATTGCTCCTTGTCCTGACCCTCTGGGGTAGAGTTGCACTCCGCCTTCTTTTTAAAAAGGAAACACAGTTTAAAGGGAAACAGAGCTGAACTGAAAATTGAAAGGACAGTTACAGCAAGCCACACTCAGCTTGTAATCACAGCTGTCAGAGAAGAGAGGCTCATCCCTCTTCACCATGCCATGTAGGATACTGTCTGGAGGAATGCGGGAGTGAAGTACCCACAGTGAGCCCTACCATCCTTTGGGCTTACCATGGGTATGTCACCAAAGCAACCCACCCACCATGGGTGATACCTCCCTGTGTCCTGGAAAACAAGGTCCATACCACTTGGAGTAGGTAGGGAGAGAAATCACCAGTCTGTCTTGATTAGTCTACAGAGAGCTTCCCGAATTAGCATCTCAACTTTAGAGCAGATTGGGGATGGGGCGTCTGGCCTACCCAGAAATGGTGACATCCATTAGCCCCATTCCCCCTTGATGGTGAATAGCAGCCCTGATATTCTGTGAAACTCAGAAGGCACTTCACACTTTTGTGATTTATTGATTTGTTTATAATTCCTGCAGAATATAGGCTTGGAATATAATCCATTCATTTTCTTGGAATAATAAGAAAGTCCGTCATTTGCAAAACTGTGCAAATGAGTTAATGGATTCCTTGAAGGAATCCCATCCACCTGGCTTGCAGAAGGACCGAAGTGCTGTGGAGACATAAGGGGGGAAACGCCAAGAAGTTAATAGGAGAGGGGAGTGAAACATGGAAAATCTTTGGGCCATGCAACTTGTGCAGATGAACCTTGGGAGAAGAAAAGATGGGCTGCTACTCTGACTACATTTGAAATCCATGAACCAGAATAATAAGATAAGATCCAGCACATTTTCCCAGATAAACCATTTTAAAATTGACAGAAGGGATTTAAACCATGACAGCAATTTTACTTTCTTTGAGTCTACTTTTTCCAGTAATTAAAACTTCTCCTTTTCATATCCTCTGTTATACTCTCACTGGGTCTCTTTCCTTCTGTTAGGCTCAGAATATTTGCCTTGAGTTATATAGATCTTGTGTCTGCAACGCCTCTGTTGGCAATTTGGAAGGACAAGTCAAGTGAATGTGCTTTTAGAATAGTGCTCAAATGTTCTCTTACGCCTTGAATGTTTTACAAGAGTATTTTTTTTTAGAATTTTGGGCTACTTTTAGTGAAGTTTTTCTGTAGTTAGTCAGTATAAACAAAACAGTTCAAGTGCATTCATATTTAAATTTTAGTTTAATATAGACCCTGCAGTGCACTAAGACCTGCAGTTTCCACAGTTAAGTTATGTAAGGAGCTTGCGAAGGCAAGTGTGCAGCCCAGAGGAAAGACATTAGGAGTTTCTCACTGGGGCTGTTTTTACGGTATGGGGCTGTTCTTCCCCATCGCTGACTTTTACGTGCACTGAGAATGGAAGTAGCCTTGGGCTTGCACATCTCAGTGGCACCGATCCCATGGAAACGGCATGGTGTAACTGGGGTCCCATGTGGAGAGCCCTTTCATAAAAGCCGAAATACTGCTGATCAGCTGTTTGCTGGGGAAGGGGAGGTGTAGGAGTTTGGATCAAAAGAACTCTGGACATGCACCTCCAGCTGCTGGAACGGAGAGCAAAACTGTGCATGCAGTACCTAGGTCTGTGCAGGGCTCCCTCTTTATTTATTATATTTATGTTCTGCTTTTTTTTCCTTCCAAGGAACTCATAATTCTCTTCCCCCTCTCAATCTGAGATTGAGTCAGGCTGAGAGTCTCTGACTCAATCATTCAGTGATCTCCATGTCTGAGGGGGGACTAGAATCCGGATCACCTGAGTCCCAGGCCCATGCTCTTATCCATTACACCACACTGGCTCTTATTTAGTTATGAATCCATGCACAGAAATGTGCTTTTGCATACGTAATGTGCCAATAATGGATTGGGATGATCGTTAATAGAAGCAAATGCTTGAACACTGCCTCACATTGGCTCTGGAGAAACAAATATGTTTAGTTTTTTAAAATAACAAAAACAAAATGTATTTCTAATCATTTCTATTAGAATGTAGAAATTAAATCATTTTTCTTTTCTATTGTTGCTTTCTTATTGTCCTCCCCTTTTCCTTTGAGTTCTCAGTGACCAGGATAAATATCAGATTTCTGGCTACAGCTGGTAACTGATCACATATTGATGAGAGAGCTTTGGCTGTGGGGGAGTATAGAAATGAGATGATGATGCTGGTTCAGTAACCAGAGTAACCATGATGGTGTATTATAAGCTAAGGTATTTTAAATTATCCTCATAATTCAGGTAGGCAACCTTGATATATGAATATTCCATGCACTTTATTACTATTACCGACTGAATGTATTTTTTTCTTCAAATGCACTTTGTACTATTAAAAATGTGCTTTTGTGGACATAGAAATGGATGTCCTTTTAGAATGACTAAGCCAAAAGTTTGCAGTTGTTCACTCTTCATTTCAAACACTTCTCGCAGGTGCCACTGGAAATCATGTTTACACCAATTGTTACGAAGCTGCAAGGGAAGATTTTGGAGCAGAAGATGCTACTTTGCTAGACACTTGGGTTTTTGAGCACGTTAAGGTGAATAGAAGTCTTTGTTTTGGATTTTTTGTATAAGAACATAAGGAAAGTCCTGCTGGATCAGGCTAAAGCTTTTTCTAGTCTGGCATTCTTTTACTACAGGAGTTGACCAGTTGCTTATGGGAGCCCCAGTATGTGATTGGCACAGACAGCATGGCAAAAATTGTGCAGAATGCCTTGTCTGTCTCTTCCCCCCTCCCTCCTCCCTATCACCTTGCCTTGTAATTTAATGCCTGTTCAATGAAATGTACTTTTAGGTACTCTTCAGTAGTAATGTATATAAGTTGCAATTTACTGTTTTCTTGCTTATGTTGGGGATCTTTTCAATGTTTGCTGTTGTTGTGTGCCATCCAGTTGTTTCCAAGTCATGGCGACCCTATGAATGAGAGCTCTCCAAAATGTCCTGTCCATCTTTACAGTGTAGCCGTTTAAAATAGGCTGTTTGTACTGTTTTAAGGTTCTTGCTTTTATTGATGCAAAGTTGTATTGTTCTAAGTTGTTATATACCATATGCCTTTTTGGCAGATACGGCAATATAAATGTAAACAGTAAATATGCTTCAACGTTGGTGTCAATGCTGAGCTATATACTTTTTCCTGTAGGAGTGAATAGGGGGCATTTCTCAGTGAAAGGCTTTAACCATGGTAATTAGCTTTTCCACATTCAAGCCAGTGCCATGTTAACAAAGAATAACAACAATAATAAGACTCCTGTTTTTAGAAGTTTGGGCAACTTCAGGATAATTTTTCATTGACTTTTCTGACCTAGGATTTCTTTGGTGCTGCAAGAAACAATGAAACGCTGTTTGCCAAACTGCATGAACCGAAAATAGTTTTCTTCCTGCATTTATTAGGGATAGACACAAATGGACATGCTCACCGACCTCATTCAAGGTACAGTGTGTTAATTTGTCATAGTTTTAAAGTAGAATACGATTAGAGCCTGATCCAGCCAAAGTGGAAGATCAATGGTAGAGGGCTGAACATATGTCTGCATCTACCATTTGAAATAAATAGGGTTCAAAGGCAGATAATAACAATTGGATCAGATCCTTTAGAGGATTTTTTAAAAATAAGCTTTTTTTAGCCAAGTTATAATAAATCTATTTAAGCTACAATCTTATGAATATTTAGGCAGATGGTTAAGTTTACGTTTCAAAGTTTTATTGTTTTCTACTCACTACACAAATAATTGTTTCAAAGACTTCAAACATACTGTGTACAAAGCCTTATTTTTCTCTACAAATGCTATGTATTTCAGCCCATATTAGAGTTCCAATTCTGTAGCCATTGATAGAAAAATTCCCATGTTTGATAGTAAACTGTATCTTCTTTTTCCTTAAGAGGTAGTCAGTCTATCCATTTACAGATGGTTAAGTTTAGACAACATGAGAGTCTAAAGTGCCTGATCCTGCCTAATCTTGGGAGTAAGACAGGGTCAGGCCTGGTGAGAATCTGGATGGATGACTTGAGTGTATGATTTATGATTATTGCTGTAAACCACTTGAGAACTTCTGCTACAGGTAGTATAGAAATGTAACAGCAAGAACAATACTCGCTATGGAATTGCAATTTGCTAAATCCTTTAAAAGTCTGTAGTTTCCCCTTAGAACTAGAATTCTGAGGGCACCTCTGGAGGAGAGACACACGAGAGTTGACTTTGCTTATGTCTGGATTGTGGATTTGCCAGTGGGGAATAGAGATTCTATCAAACAATCTGTTAGCCAAATGTTCAGATGTTTCTCTAACTGTATTATGACCATCTTTAGATTGCTTTTGAAAATGAATTGGGTGCTGTGCCTTAAATCCAGATTTCTAATGTAATTTGCGCAGTAGAAGATATTTTTGAAATGCTATCCCAATAGAAAATATCAATATTTATTCATTTGCCTCCTGCCTTTTGACTGGCTGCATTTCTAAATCAGCCTCCAATCTGGACTGACTTATAATCCTGCCAAAAATGCCACTACTTTGTCTCTTCTGCAGGGAATACAAGAATAATATCAGGATAGTTGATGAAGGTATAAAGCAAATTGTGTCCATGATTGAGGATTTTTATGGAAAGGATGGCCGTACCGCATTTATCTTGACTTCTGACCATGGGATGACTGATTGGGGTGAGGCTTTTAGAATGTTTTCACTTAGTATCTCCACGTAATAAGACACCTTTGTCTGAATGCTAGATTGTTCAACGTAATTTTCTGATTCTCTGTGAGACAAAACACTGGAGACGTAATATGTTGCTTTCTTTACAAGCTGGAATTGCAAGCTAGAATTTAATAGCAGGAATTATAGAAGCACAGGAGTGCAAAAAGAAGCCTTCATTTTGAGATTCAGAGCTGTATCAATCTCAGACCAACAGCAGGTAGACAACCTCAAAGATAACATAAAGGAAAGGTGTCGCCGCCTTTGTTTGCACATTGCACACTTTGCAGCTTTGCCCTGCCCTGCCCTGCTCTGCAGCACACTTCCCTCTTCTGTGAAGAGGGAGGTGCCACTAGTATGACGGTGGAGCACCTGGTGTGTACACAGACCTCAAGTATGTCTCTCTGGCTTCTGCAGTTTAAAAGATTTTGGATAACAGGGCTAGGAAAGCTCTGCTTGAGACTCTGGAGAACTACTGATAATTGCATTTTGACCTAGCATAGGTTTCCTGACCATGGCACTTCACAAATACCTTGAACTTTAACTCCTGTTAACCCCAGCCAGCATGGCTAATTGTCAGAAGTCAAAAACATCAGGAGGTACCACGTTGAGAAGGGCTGTGCCAGGTAGACTATGGGTCTTATGCTTTGCACACCAGCCTTGTATGTGAGCTGGCAGTTCAAGTGGGCCAGTCACTCACTCTCAGCCTAACATACCTTACAGGGTTGTAGTGAGGATAAAATGGGGAGGTGGGATATAAAGGTAATAGCCACTTACAAATAAGGAATCTATGTGCCTGCTTGGAAATCCATGACTGGAAGACTTGTTGAAAGGATCTGTGTAAGCATAAAAGGAGTGAGAAATACAAATGATGTTGCTTTGGCAGTGTATAACAGATTGCCCAGACGATATGGACACAGACTGTCAGATGATACGGATGGTACTTTCCTGGAACTGATAACAAAATTTTCTGAGGCAAGCCATAGAAGTAATGGGGGATTTAAACTAACCTCACCTCTGTTGGAAATCTAACTCTGCTAAGAGTGGAACATCTAATACCTTTTTTACTTGTCTTGCTGACAACTGAATCTTTCAAAAAGTAGGAGGAGGAAGAAGAGGATTTGTTGTCCTGGACTGAATCTTGACCAACAGGGAAGAACTGGTTGATGACATCAAAGAAGTAGGAACCTTGGAGGAAGGTCACTTCATCCTCTTTAGATTTATGTGCATCTTTAGAAAAGCCAGTTGCAAGGAACTTAGGATGAAGTTGGGTAGCATCCAGAAAATAACACGTTGGTTAGAAGCAGCTAGCATGGGTTTGTGAGGAATAAGTTTCACCAGCCTAACCTCTTCTCTATTTTTGGGTACTTATTAGTTTCCAGGATTGTGGAAATGGCATGGATGTCGTATGCCTTGATTTCAGCGAATCGTTGGTTAAGGGTTCGCATTCTTTCCTTGTTGAGAAGATCATGAAACGTGGCTTGGGCATCACTACTGTTAAGTGGCTCATTTGTACTCGAAGAGTGATCTTGAATGGTTCTGCATCCTCCTTGGTAGGGGTCTGTCCTAGTCCCTGCACCTGCACTGTCCAAATAAATGACCTAGATGGACAGACATTTAGAGGGTTGGCTTATCTATTTTTGCTGATGTATAATCTAGGATGTAGATGTATGGCTGTGAAAGCTGGACCATAAGGAAGGCTGAGCACCAAAGAATTGAGGCCTTTGAATTGTGGTGCTGGAGGAGACTCCTGCGAGTCCCTTGGACTGCAAGGTGATCAAACCAGTCAGTCCTAGAGGAGATCAACCCTGACTGCTCTTTAGAAGGCCAGATCCTGAAGATGAAACTCAAATACTTTGGTCACCTAATGAGAAGGAAGGACTCACTGGAGAAGAACCTAATGCTGGGAACAATTGATGGCAACAGAAGAAGGGGACGGCAGAGGATGAGGTGGCTAGATGGAGTCACTGAAGCAGTCGACGTGAGCTTAAGTGGACTCTGGGGGATGTGGAAGACAGGAAGGCCTGGAGGAATGTTGTCCATGGGGTCGCGATGGGTTGGATGCAGCTTTGCAACTAACAACATAATCTAGGAGGAATCCCCAATACCATAGCAGACAAACTCCAGGTTCATACACTGGGCCAAAACTAACAAGACAAAATGTAAAATCTTGCATTTAATTTTTAAAAATTCAAAAGCATAGGATGGAGGAAACCTGACTTGGGCATAGGATATGGAAAAAAGACCTATTTGCCTTAATGGGTTGTGAGGTTAATCCAGCAATGTTATGGTGCTGCTAAAAAGGATAAGGCAGTCTTAGGCTGCATTAATGGAAGCATGGTGACCTGGTCATGGTAAGAATCCTAGGCTGGTCAAACCAGATTTGGAGAAGAAAGCCAGTTAATTATAAAGTAACTCGGGCTTGTGTTTTTCCCATATGCTTAGGTACTCATGGGGCCAGTCACCCAACAGAGACTTTGACACCATTAGTTGCTTGGGGGGCAGGAATCAACTATCCACAGAGAATTGCCTTTCAAGAGTTTGAAGATGGATTTTTAAAAGGTAAATACAATTAATTCTACAAACAGATTACATAGTAGATTTTTTTCTGCATACTTACAAAATATAACTGTTTCTTTGTCATCTTTGTAATTCATGGTTCCCTTAGGGATATGAATATAGGATTTGAGCCCAGCACCTAAGCCATGCCATCAGTAAACTGCCACATGTATATTTGAAATCTATAGTTCTGTAAATGCTCTAATTAGTTGCATTTTCCTACCACATCCATGCACATGTAAAACAGAAGTTGCCCTCATAAGTTTACAACCATATAAGAAACAGTAAATGGTGATTTTCTTAAGAGGTCACATTCTCATCCTTAGAAAGCAGGCCAAGTATTATTAGCCTCATATTGTTGGAAGTGTCCCAAGGCTGGAAGAGTGCAATGGCTTGCTGAAGACTACCCAGTGAGTTGAATGGTCCAGTTTCACGAGCTCCTATCTTGAGCTACAGACTTTCTCAGTTCACTATGCAACAGCACAACATATTACACTGTCTTCTAGCCCAAAAAAAGAAAGGGGAGAGGTTAAGTATCCATTTCAAGATTTCCATTCAAAAACTTAATCTCAGGTGAGGGAAAATGGAACAATATATTTTATGTATTATATTTATCTTATTTATATGCGGCCTTTTTTCCTTCAGGGAATGTAAGGTGGCTCCCTTCCATCTTATCCCAGTCCAACGCTCCAGCCACTACACTGCACTGACTGTCATATATTCACTGGCTCTCTTATATATTCTGATAAGGCTGTGTGTGTCTCTTAGTCACGATGGCTATCTAGGACCTCCAGTATCAGAGCCAGTGTGCATCTGAAGACCGGTTGATGGGGAACACAACCAGGAACATTTTCCTACATTCATGTCCACTGTGCAGACAGAATGCCGGACTAATAATAAATAGCCTTTGGTCCAATTCAGCAGGGCTCTTTGATGTTGGATGATTGTTCCCAGTCCTCTGAAAGCATGTTGAAGGTATAAGCTGCTCCAACTGTTTTGTCCTAAAGGAGCCTGGCATACTGCTCTGAAACTATGCAGCATTTTAAGAAAGGGGGACAGGCAGTGGCAGAAAGGAGTCAAGGGTAGGCATAACTTCTACTGCTGTTGCTGGTGCAGGAAGGAAAGCACTCATGTTAGGAAGAGGCCCGAAAAAGGGTTTCCTTTAAACCTGTGCTCTCATTCTGGAGGAAGTGGGATTCAGGGAATGGAGATGGGGGCTGACTTTTGTCTTGCACAGCCTTCCTAAAACAAAAGCTTTCAGGTTAACCTACGATCAACCAACATATATACTGAACTGAAAAGCAAGAGTGCATATACAGGATCTTATTAACTAAGCCATATTTAGTGAGGATGGAATGTGCACACTTGCTTAAGAACGCGATCATACCAAAGTCCACAGTTCTTCAGTGGAAGCCTAGCAACCAGCAGATGCCAGGGGGATTTAAGCCCCCGGACATTGGCCAGGTGCCCACGGGACGCCCTTGCGCCAGACACAGTAGGTCTGGAGCAAGCTGAACTCCATAAAACCAGTATTGTGCCAGATCAGGCTTTATACCAAAGGAGAGGAGTGGGGTTACAGTGAGTGTGATTATGAGAACATGGACATCGTCCAGAGGCTCTCTTTTGATCTGACCTGACTGAAATGCCTTGTGTCTGCTGAAACACATGTTATGAGTTCATATCAATCCAGAGCAATCGTAATGACTGTCTGTTTTGGGGTACGCAAAGCTCAGCCCTAAGTAACAAAAGTGGAACGAGTATACTTAGCCAGGCCTACAGTTTAATTTCTTTTGTGCTAGCCGATGTCCTTAGCATTGTAGTTGTAGCCTCCAAACATTTTCTTTTGCGTATTTTAACATTCCATTTGTCAGCATGCTTCAGTGCTCCGGGCACTGTCCAAAGCTAGCTGGAATTACCAATTCTGGAATAAAACTAATCAGTGGAGCTTGCAGAAAGGAGCTACAGTGATTTGACCCATTCTGGAAGTGATAATTTCAGCTCATTTCTAGGAGTGCTGATTCCCACTTATGCAGTCTAATGAGTGCTGGCAGGCAACCAGCTTCAGAAGCTGCCCCATGACTTCTCTGAATACTCTGGTGCTGCTTATCTTCAAGACTAATAGACTAAAATGAAGTTATAGGGTTTAATTAATGTCAGACCTAGGGTTAAGACCTTTTGTCACACTTAGATGGTTTCCTGAAAAAACAAATGCAAAGTTGTACATTCCTATATAGCACAGGGATAGTTAAACCTTTTCAGTTCTTGATACACATGGCAACTGGGCCACCTGTTCTAGGCACTCCTAATGACAGCTGCCATGGCAGACAAGGTAGAGGACAAGTAACCTACCCAAAAGAGCGAGTGCAAGGCAGAGGTTGAGTGTAAGCCATTCATTTGGTATCCATGGTCTCCGGCACCTATTTTATAGCAACCCCGGCTTCTGGTAAGAAAATAACTTGATCAAGAAGAAAGAGGGAAGGGTAGGGCACCTGGATGGGGGCCAGCAAAGGTGTTAACAGTCACAAGGTTGCCTGCTCCTGGTGCAATGCATGTTCAGACTCCTCCAGCACATTCATAGAGAGATGATCCTGGCCTCAGACAGCAGGTGCAATTTGGGGATAAGAGCAAGGTGTCAGTCTTCAGCTGCTTTGAGGATTAATGTATATTCCTCTGTAAGGAGACTTGATGTTTCAGCAGATAATTAATTTTGTCTCTGTTATTTTAAAGAAGTTGAAATAAATGTGTTTTGACTGCTCTTGGTAAATTTCTTAGATTGGCATTCTGAAGCTAAAGCATGAATCTATTTAAGTATGAAAAAGAGCGTTACATAGCAGAACTCTCTGACAAGTCATTAAATACCAGATGGATGCTTTCCCCTACAAATGTGTTTACATCGGTTGGCCCTAGGTCACAAATTATCTTTTCTTCTCTCTTTATCCTTCTGTAGAGTGGAAACTGGAGACCTTGAAGCGGCAAGATGTCAACCAGGTACCTATTTGCATCTAGCTCACAGCTCATTAGTGTTACTCCTAAAGTAAACCTACCGCAAAGACATACTGGCGGGAGAGTAAATTGTAACGTTATCATGTATGTATTTTTATTGGACACCTGTGTCCAAACTGTTTGTTTGTTTAGATCAGCACATACCCATGCAAGCATAGCATTCGCAATATCTTAAGAGAGATCGGGAGCTGTGGGCTAAGAGCGTCCTCTCCTTTGATGGGCAAATTTTCTCCACTCCCTGAAGAACCTCAGACATATTTTTCCCCTTTCCAAAATATCAAAATGCCTCCCTGAAGTGCTTAAGTTATTAGGAGTAAGACTGTGACACTAAAATAGAACGATTTTTCTCTGTCTTTCCCCTTGCTTCTTCTGCCTCCACCAAGTGCTTCACTAAAATGGAATTCAGCTCTCTAGTTGAAAGAGGTTCTGTGTTCATTAGCACTCACACTGCTTGGAATTGATATTCCTTATAGGTATAGTTTGTAGCCAAGATTTAAAATGCTTTTGCAAAACCTGTTAATGAGTCATTCTTGCATGATGCACAAAGCAGAACAGTAGCAGCACGGTTGGTGGATTTGGAATGGTATATGTGTAGAAAGTCTTCATAACAGAGTCCCCTGGTGCCTTCCTTGAAGGCAAGATGGTCTGCCCATCCCTTGCCAACCATGTAGAGCCCCTCTCATTCTGAGTCCTTCTGGGAGGTTTTTCTTTTCTGCTGTGCTGGCCCACACTCTGAATTTCTTTAGAGCAGCATGCTTCATAAGTCCCTGTCATCCCCCAAATATTAAACAGTTGTTTTGAACTTCCTATACTAACCTGTGTTGCAGATGTTAAGATGGCTCTCTTTTCTATGTCATGACCAGTTCTTAAGCTTTTAACTTGACTTGGCAACCTTGAACTGAGAACATTTTTTGCTCATAGGCCGATATAGCACCACTGATGGCATCCCTTATTGGAGTCCCATTTCCCTTGAACTCTGTGGTAAGGCACGGGTTAATTTTTCTCTTGACAGCAAATGGCCAAGAACTGTAATTCCTACTGGACATATACCAGATGGATGATACACTGAGGTTTAATTTTGTACAAAGTGCCTCATTTGAGGATGGGGCCCCTCAAACGTTAGCCTGCTTCTTCAATTAAATGTTCCAGTTCCTCTCTGAGCACAACAACTTGTCTCTTGGGAGTTGAGGTCTACCCCTATTTCTCAATGTCAGTAGTGGTGGCCAGCTGGGATTCTGCCAACGACAGGGACTCTGCCACTGTACTTTTACAGCAGGGCCTTGGGGCTGAAGGAAGGGCAATAAGTAGACCATGCCCTCCAAGTTTGCAGTGGCACACCCAGAAATACCCTTTCCACACATTGGTTGGAAATACAGAAAGCAAAACCTTTTAGCCAAAGACACTTGATGGCTTAGTCACCTTCGGGTGTCTGGGCAAATGTATCTCATTCTAGGCGCCTCAAGTGTTCATATCAAGGTGAATGCAATGCTGCCTCATCATTTAAGAGCAGCTTGTACTCAAATCAGGTCTGTGCACGTGTGACGGTGGCAGAGTGCACACGAACTTGCTCACAATTTGGCATGCCATGTGCTGTTGCCTATTTTGCTGCCTTTTAAAATTTTCAACCCCAATGCTAATTGCAGGTTAATTGTGGATTAACCTATTAGGACCAGGGATGAGTGTCAGTCAGCCTGACTGGGAACTGAATATGCAAAATGGGTGCAGCACCCCGTCAGCACTCAACCTAATATTGGGCAATGGACGTTATGGCGTTGGGGGTTTAACAGGTCCGCATAGAAGAAGGAGGGACAGATGGTTAACACCTGTTCCTCCTTCTGGTTATTCCCCCAGCCGGAGGGTTCAAGGTAGCCCAGTCAACCGCCCCGCAGGCCTGATGGTGCTGTTGCTTAATGCCAGGTCAGTCCAAAATAAAGGTCGGTCTGGCCAATCCTAAAGAAGGCATCCCTGGATCCAGAGGTGGTCGCCAATTATAGACCGGTGGCCAACATCCCGTCCCTGGGCAAGGTGCTAGAGCAGATGGTGGCGGGACAACTCCAAGCACTCTTGGATGAAACTGATTATCTGGACCCATTTCAGTCCGGCTTCAGACCTGGGTATGGTACTGAATCTGCCTTGGTCGCCCTGTACGATGACCTGTGCAGGGAGAGAGACAGGGGGAGTGCATCTCTGTTGGTTCTCCTGGGCCTCTCAGCAGCTTTTGGTACCATTGACCATGGCATCCTTCTGGAGAGGCTAGTGGGATTGGGGGTAGGAGGCACTGCTTTGCAGTGGTTCTGCTCCTGTCTCAATGGCCGATTCCAGAAGGTGGTGCTGGGGGACTATGGCTCTGCGCCATGACAGTTATGCCATGGAGTTCTGCAGGGGTCCATTTTGTCCCCCTTGCTATTTAACATTTACATGAAACCGCTGGGAGAGGTCATCAGGAGGTGTGGGCTGTGGAGTCATCAGTATGCTGATGATACCCAGCTCTACCTCTTGTTCTCCACCAATCCAGGTGAGGCAGTGGCTGTGCTGAACCGGTGCCTGGCCGAGGTAATGGGCTGGATGAGGGCCAATAAACTGAAGCTCAATCCAGACAAGACAGAGGTCCTGTTGGTGGGTGGTTCGGGCTTTGGGGTGGGGGACTTGGGCCTTGTCCTAAATGGGGTTGCACTCCCTCTGAGGGACAGGGTTCGCAGCTAGGGAGTGCTCCTCAACCCTGAGCTGTCACTAGAAGCTCAGGTGACGGTGGTGGCGAGGAGCACCTTCCTTCAGCTCCGGCTGATCCATCAGCTGCGCCCCTACCTGGAGAACGACTGCCTGGCGACAGTGACCCACACGTTGGTAACTTCCCGACTAGATTTCTGTAACACGCTCTACGTAGGGCTACCTTTGAAGAAGGTCCGGATACTTCAATTGGTGCAAAATAGAGTTGCCAGGTTGCTGACGGGGACTGGGTGTTGTTCTCATATAACCCCAGTCCTCCGTCAGCTTCACTGGCTCCCTATTGAAGTCCGGGCCCAATTCAAGGTGTTGGTTATGACCTATAAAGCCCTTAACAGCTTGGGACCTGGATATCTAAAGGAACGTCTGCATCCATATATGCCCGCCCACCCCCTACGATCGGCAGCGGATGCCCTTCTCCGGGAACCCTCCATGAAGGCTATTAGGAGGGTGAGTACCCGGAGGAGGGTCTTTTCTGCGGTGGTGCCCCACCTATGGAATGCTCTCCCCAATGAGGTCTGCCTGGCGCCGTCATTATTTGCTTTTTGGCGCCATGCAAAGACTTTTTTATTTAAAAGTTATTTTAACTGTTAATTTATTATTATTGCATTTATAGATTTTAATATTTATTTATTTATTTATTTATTAAAACATTTTTATGCCGCCCCATTCGCCGAAGCCTCGGGGCGGCTTACCACATAGATAAAACAAGTTAAAATCCATATAAAATAATCTTAATTAAAACTCACATTATAAAATAAGCCGCCCTGGCCAGATAAAATTCAATTGTATTTAGCATTTAAAATGTTGCTTAAATAAAAAGGTCTTAGCCTGGCGCCGAAAAACAAATAACGACGGCGCCAGGCGGACCTCTCTGGGGAGCGCATTCCATAACTTAGGCGCCACCGCTGAGAAAGCCCTTCTCCGAGTAGCCACCCTCCTAATTTCTCTCACGGAGGGCTCCCGGAGAAGGGCCTCTCCCGCCGATCTCAGGGGCCGAGATGAGATATATAGCCGAGATGGTACCAGTTTTTAAATTACTGATTGTATTTTTATGGTTCTTTTATGGATGTTGTGAGCAGCCCCGAGGCTTTGTTGCAATGTGGGTGTCATAGAAATGTTTTAAATAATAAAATAATATTTAGCACTGCTACACGCAAACCAGGTCTGGGAGTTTTTGCAAATCTTTACTTGTTTGGAAAGCTTTCCCTCTTTAATAATACTGTTACTCAAAAATTACAGTATTATTAAATACTACTAATTTTTTGACACTCAGCATACTGATATGTTGAGTATCGGGTCCAATGATATATTTTTCTAGTCTTGGAAGTTGTGAATAAGCCTGAATCTTGGTGTATTTTTCAGGGTGTTCTGCCTCTGGAGTACCTGAATAATACTGCTCATTTTAAAGCAGAGAGTATGTTTACAAATGCTGCTCAGATTGTTGAACAATTTAAGGTAAATAAGCTATTGCTGAAACATTATGAATATCTTGCTGTACACTAAAATAAGTACTTGAAGTGAAAAAACAACGTATTTCAAAAAGTGTCACTGTACAGAGCCAAAACGTGTTCATCCTCAATTGTGTCTATATTACTGACATTATAACTCCTCGCAGCTATAAGAAAAGCTAGCTTAAATCCCTGCAACACTTAATTTTTTTAAAATAATGTTTTATCTTATTTTTCATCACTGCCTGATACTTTTCATTGATAAAAGCATAAATGTGAATGTGTAATGGTAATTATGGGGCATTAGAAAGGGAAATTTAATTTCTAAGGGCCAAATTCTGACTAGCTGATAGGAATTGATAGCACTGATGGAGGTGTAGACACAGTCCTGGAATTTAATTCTGATCTTGTTAATGACTATTTCTGGCAATCCTCAAAGTGCTTTGTTGGCAAGCATTCTATTAAAGCAACTGGGGCTTGAATCATAAACATTGACAGAACTGCGGGTTTACGTTTCTTCTTTAGCTGGGACTGAAACATTCTCGTTACAATCTGTGTGTGCAGCTTCAGGTATGCACCAAATAAAACAGAAAATGAATTGCTTGGACTTTGGATTTCTTATTTATATTGCGATTTTGGATTTCTAATCTGTCTGAGACTAGGGTACTTCAAGGACTGCCTGTTCTTGTATGTGTCTGTCCACTCATTAAGGTCATCAAGGAGAGGGCCTTTTGCACAGTTTACCTAGACTTTGAAACTCCTTCCCAAAGAAGTTTTGCCTTGTTCGTGCCTTAATGGCTTTTTGCCTTAATTAATTAATTAATTAATTAATTAATAGCCGAGACCCGTCCAATAGCCGAGATTCGCTATGACCAAGACCTTGCTTTTTAGGAAGGATTTGGGAACATAGAAGGATAACTGTTTTAACTGATGTTCTTTCTAATGTTTCTTATCCTCCTTCAACTACTGTATTCTTTTTGGTATGTTGACATTGGCTTATTAGTTGTTTTATGTTGATTGTTAGTTACCTTCGACCTTAAGACAGATAGATATATGGAAATAATCACATTTGCATGTATGGTGGCTAGTTACAGGCACCTGCAAACTTCATGAGGGCCAGGCTTGTTAAGATGAACTACCACTGAAGATTCGCAGATCCAGATACTTCTTGAAATGGCATGAGGAAATGACAGGCTTTTGCTTCTGGCTGTTGGGTCTCTGCCCTGGTAGAATTTTGGGATATGCAGCTGTCGCAGTTGCTCTTGCGTGACCTTTCCAGACACACCAGAATCAGGTCTACCCACGGGGTAATGGTGACTTGCTGGACAACTACCAGAACATAGGAGACGGAAGACTTGTGCCAAATTTGACATAAAGGCTTATGTTCTCCCAATGATTGTGAGAAATATTTGTTCTTTTCAAGATAGTGTTTGATGGAACTTTTAAAAGAGATCCTCATTCCAGTGGTTGAGCTACTTCTTTTGCACTGGAATTCAACATACTAGACTACTATTTCTAGAGTTCTGTTGGGTAAGAAATTCAGTGCCTCTGGTTTTGTTGAGCTTCCATCTTTGTTGTCCAGGAATGTTCATAGGATCCTTGGAAACTTACATCTGACAATTGCTTGCTTATTATTGCTTGTCTTGCTGATTTAAGCCTAGCTGAGAAAAATTGGGGATTTTCTTGCCAGAAACAGTAAATGCTTCTCTGCCCCAGGGGAGTTCACCCTTTTCTCCTGATATTGTATTCTGTGTTACTGAATTCACATTCAGTGGCACAGGAGTGGCACACCAAACTCCTGTGCAAGGTTGTCCTAAATCTTCTAGGTTTCCCTTCTTTAGAAATTATACTTCCTCTGTAGTGACCATTTCCCCACCATCAGCAAAACCCTACCTTTTGCCTTATTAATGACTTCCCTCATGGGAAGCACACTGTATTTCCCATCTTTCTTATAATGAGCTATCGAAAGTGTTCCAGGAAGTCCTTAAGCCAGTGCAAGAACTGTCGCTCTTGGTGTCTTATACCACCCCAGCAATCAGCATGGAGCTCATTCATTGTCTCTCTCTCTGATTCTACAATGTTCTGCCTGAAAGTAGGTCAACTTCGTCTATTGAGTGGTTTAGAAATAAATAAAATGCAACTTTCCATTAGTATCAATCTTTTGGGAGAGAGGAAACACCAGGTGCATAGATGACAAAAGAATATTGCTGGTTTCCTGTTGAGCCACTTGTGAGAGCAGATGGCTGGGTGACCACGCAAGAGGGCCTTGCCCCCTACCACACCCCTGGAATAGGTTCCCCATCAGGCTTCCACCAGGTCCCGTTATGTCAGGGTTGTAAGAAGACTCTGAAAACATCTTTTTGTTGTCTTTCCCTGATTATGTTGATTTGGACTGATCTCTGCTTGCATTGCCTGTGCAAAGTTATATTTTATGTGGGTATTTGCTCCTGTTGCTTTTTAATAATGTTTTAACTACTTTAATAGCATATCAATTTTTATGATGTGTTTAGGTATTGTATGCTGCCTTGGAAGGACTCCTGCCCCGAAAGCAGCCAGTAGACATTCTTACTCAAATAGTAAACAAATAAATGGGTTGGGAGCTGGTGTAAGGATCTGAGCTGCCCTGGGGTCTTTGACTGATGGTCAGAACCCAGAAGCCCACCTCAGTATTCACAGGATTGGTCCCAGGCCCCCTGAAGCTCTCAGCCTCCTGATGAATACCAGCTGGGAGCCCTAGGAGACAAGCTAGCTCTTCCCTGCAGAACTTGCCTCCTGCGGGTTGAGGTTCAGCTCCTGACCTTTGCTTGGCCCTCGCTTGCATTGGGCTCCGCTTGCAGCCTGCCTTGCTGTGTTGCCTCAGCAATGCAGGTTTGCATGCTAGCTGTGGTTCAGCGCCTACATCTTACTGACCCTTGACATGTATCTTGTCTTGTCATATATCCTGCCCAGTTTTCCTGCTTCAGGGGACCTGCTTGTCTTCCTGTTCCTGACCCTTAGCTTGTTCGTGACCAGCCTTGTTCTGCACTGATGCACTCCTCGGGTCCTGCGCTGTGACTACAGCTTGGATTTGCCATTAAACCTTGCTCTTGGGCTTTTGGAATCTGTCTTGGCTCAAGTGCTGTGTCTCTCATCCCAGTGGCTCTGTCTTGCCTCAGGCCACTCATGTCCCATCGCTGCAGATGCAGCTTTAGCTGAGAGGCTGGGAGGAGCCCCAGGAGAACACTGCAACAGTGCCCTCCCTCTCTCCCTTTCTCCCTCTCCAAGGAACTGGCTGGGTTCAAACAACACAAGAAGCCATGGTGGGGGGTTTTTAACCATGGGTAAGTTGTCTGTTCCCGGTTATGATATTTTGCCCTACCATCATGGTTTGTTGTGGTGTCTGAATTGAGAATCATGGTTTCCACAGTCCTGGTGTGCAACTAGCAGAGTCCTCTGGAAAGAGTGGCAACTGCAGGAGCTGCTTCAGCCATCCAGCCTCTATGTGCAGGCAGGTGAGGAAGAAGCAGGAGACTTAGGCAGGGACTGATGCACCTGGGGACTGACTGTCATGCGAAGTGGCTGATGGGATACATGTCAACAGTGGGAAGACTTGGCAGGGTGGTTGGAAGCCATGATAAGGTAGAAACAACTTGATCATCTGTCAGGTGGATAGGGGTAAAAAACCTGTGAACTGTGGTAACTGCACAGGGTTGTTTGTCATCCTGTGTGAACACAGCCATTCTGTTTTATCTTGAATGTAAATTCCCTCATTCTTCCACTCACCTGTTAACTATGATTAAAGACTGAGATCCTGTGCACATTTACCTGACAACAAGGCCCACTGAAACTTATATCTCAGTAAATGTGAACAGGCTGTACATTTCTGAATGGGACCTGGAATGTGTTAGATGCAGAAGATTACTCTTTCCCCCGCTTTCTTCATTTAACAGTATATGCTACTTTATGCTTGCCAGTTATTTCATAAAAAACCACTTTTGTTAACTACTTTAACTTTTTTTCTGTTGCTATGTTTTCAGGTCAAGATGGCTCAGAAAAAGAATACCACATTTTCATTTATGTTTTTGCCATTCAAGTAAGTCGATTTGCCATGTCTGCATGTTGTTGTGTTTCCTTAAAACTTCTCTCTCTTGCCCTTTGCTTTTTGCCAATGAGAAAGAAACTATAGATCATATGACAGTACCTGCTGAATACCCTGGGACCTCTCATTTGAAGAAATAAAGCCTCTGCAGGAACACTGCTTGGTGGATTGAGAAAACATAGTCCAAGCATTTGAAATCTAAGCTAGGTGAATATACCGGTATTTGGCCAGGTTTGGGATGCATTTCCCTTCAACTGCATCTTGAATGCCTCTAGTGTGAGAGAGCCCACAACATCCTTAGTTGATTGGTACCATCATGTTACTGCTGCAACAGTCAGGAAGTTCTTCCTGATGTTCAGCTGGAATCTGGCTTCCTGTACCTTGAGCCCATTATTTTGTCCTGCACTCTGTGACAATCAAGATGAGATCCTGGCCTTACTTTGTGCAACGACCTTTCAACTCTTTGAAGAGTCCTTGAGCCTTCTCTTTTCAGGGCTAACCAAGACCACTTCTCTCGATCACAGAGCTTGGTTTCCAGTCCCCAGATCATCCTTGTCACCCTCCCTCAACCTTCAGATCAAGGTTGGTGCTGCATTGAGTTTCCAGGGGGGCACAGCTGGAAGAGACCAACCCCTCCTTATTCCCTCACCCAAGTCTCAGTAGCAGACACGCCAGCCCTGTCATCCACAATTAAGCCATGGATGAGGGAGACTTTGTTTTGCACTGACCTGGCATTCAGCAGCAGCAGCGCCAGCTGACGGGAGCCAGCTGGTTGGAAGAAGTACAGAGGAGGGGATAGGCACAAGATCTGTAGCTCTCCTTCCCCTCAGTCTGATATTAAAGTGTAGGTGCAAAATGAAGAGCCCTAGCCCTTAGTGCAGGGACTGACAAGGAGCAGGTAATGCTCGGAAATGCTCCAGTAGCTGCCCTCTGCTGCTACGTTTCTGGGGTGTCTCAGGAATCACTGCAAAGAAGCTGCAAGCTTCAGTGCAGGCTCAGCCGCAGACTTTTCCAGACAAATGGATCGGGGAGGGCCAGCTGCCACAGAATTCACGTTACGAGAAGCTAAATAGATATGCTGGGAACTCACACTCACGGTTACCCCCAGAGATGAGCAAGTAGTCTGGAGAAATTGCAGGCCATCAAGGACAGAGAGGTTTTTGTTACCATTATTGTTACTGCTTAGCCGTTATTTCAGGCTCAAGAGGGTTTAGGAGTGCTTCTCGTCCATTCTCAGTAATGCTTACAATACCCTGGTAAGACAGATAAGTGCTTTAGTCAGCCCCGTGTTTCCAGCAGGGGACTAGAACAGCTGGGGCTAGAAGCTCAGAAATTATGGCTTGCCATATAGGGCCATCTAGCGAGCTCCTTCTGGCAGAGATAGGAATGGCCCTGGTTGAGTACTCAGCCACTGCATTCCTCTAGGCAATCTTTTTTGTGGTTATGGTAAAAATCTCAGTTGTCTGTTTGTTTGGAGAGTATAAGCCTCAAACTGTGTATCTGTTTTTCATTTCCACAACTAGTGGCCTGCATCTTTTATTATGCATGCTTAGCCTTTGCAGCATGAGCAGGAGAGAGTTTGCTTTAAATTGTATTTGTGATTATTTTCCTGCACTTCTCCATTAAGCGACTTTCACTCCCAAGTGTCTTGCATCGCATCTTCCATACCTTCAGGCTAAAGCTGCTATTTCGAGGTCCTGCTGGAATCTTCTGACTCTGCCATAACATTGGCCTGAGGAATTGCTGCAGATAACATTTTTCCTCCCTCTGGCCCTTAATTGACCCTGACTCTAAGTTAATTTACATGCCAAATATATAAATATGCAAGTGTACCTTCTCTGCTCTCTCTTCAGAGCTTTTTTTCCTTTAACCTGCATTATTATCCTGATGTGTTTATGCATTTCATCAGTGTTAACAGTTTCTAGAAACTGAGAAACTCAACTTCCATTTTGTTTAATTTTTAAACACTTGTGCTTGCATGGCATATTTTCAGCTTTATACACTGCTTGTCAATTGTGAACATTTATGCTTACATGCTTCCATTTCAAACCAATTCCTTTGGCTCTCACAAGGAAAACCTGTGGCAGAAACCTGGATGCAATGTGGCTTAGTTCAGATCCTGTGCCCCAGGATATCAGGCAACCAAGCTGAAGCCTTCTGCCCAGCCTGCTCCTTACATACACTTATCCCTGACCTGGTCTTATTAGTAAATGTTTCACATTGGTATATATTAGTCAGCCAGCTCCAGGATGTAAGCAGCAGGTTTCCTCAACTGGATCACCAGAACCAAGGACGGAGATATTTGCAGAGTGTGACAAGACATAGCAACACCAGATGCAAAGGCAAAATTAGGAATTAGCAAGGGTCAGGTATCAGCACTGTCTGGGAGGACAAGAGGCAAAGATACAGTCAGGAAAAAGCAAGAAGTGGGTACCAACAGGGCATGGCAGGGACAGAGGCAGGTTCAGCCAGGAGTCAAGTCACAAGTGAAGATGTTGCAGGACCAAAGGCAGCAGCCACTGCAAAGATGATTCTCGTTGTAGTAAGACCAAGAAACTGTCTTAGATCCTCCTGCAGTCTCCAGCTGGTCTGCACGATTGCAGTGGTTCTCATCCTGTAAACACCTGCAGTCTCATATCAGTCCTGCAAGTACTTGCAAGGTAGACCAGGCTGCCATCTATATCAGGCCACCAGGGGAGCAGTATCGCACTGTGGATCCTGACACAGCCTTCCTTTCCAAAGCTGTATAGTTCTAGTGAGCAGGAAACACTGCCTCTGCCATCTACAGCAAGGTCAGGCAACCTAATGCCTTTAGGTGCTTTGGACTACAACCCTTACAATTCCTGGCCATTGGTCATGCTGACTGCAGCATATGGGAGTTGTAAGTCTCAACATCTGGACTGCACCAGACTGCCTATTCCTGATCTACCCATTTGTCTGTCAGACTACTCAGAGATTGACCCAGTTCTGACATACACATTCCTGCTTAACATATCAAGATTAGCAGGAGTCTTGGTCCAAACATTCTAGCCTCATGACATCCTTTCTTCCCTTTTCAGTTTGCTGCGATTTGGTTCTTTCTCCCTTAATTAGTGACAAGAGTGATTTACAGGAAATACATGTGAAGGGAAGGGACTACCAAGATGAAGTCTTTACAGGATGCAGTTTGGGGAAGGTGTGGGTATGATGGGAGATCACTTACACAGTATGCCAGAGGCAGATTAGGGTAAAACAATAGGGATTAAGGCAGTACAAAGAGAGCTGGTAAACAATTAGCATATCTAAAAGTGTACTTCCAAAGGACAGGCCTATTAGCATTTCTAAGGCCTACCTAGGAAGCAAAACTTGCCACATGGATTCCTGTTCGGATCAGGAATCCCACCTTAAAAGTCTAAAGCTGTTCTTACAGTATCGGGCATTTTGCAGCCATATTATGGCAACGTTTTTGCTCATTTTGTCCTGACTTTAGCCATAATTTCCTCTTATGCTTGAAACTGGAAACAATGATTTACCAGGACTAGATCAAGCCAGGATCTGAAACCAAATTCAGACTGCTGAGACCATGCTTGGAGTGTTTTCCCTCCCCTTTAATCCAGTGACTTTGGGTTTCCAAATTATAAGAGTGGTGGTATCACTGCCTACTGTGTCATGAAAGCAAGCAAATCTCACAGAAACAACTATTTTTGCACTAACAAGACATGTTTGGATTCTAATTCTCTGTGTATATGATCATAGCTTTGATCCATGGGACATGGTGCTTTGTATTGTTTCAGGTGTCTTGCATTCTGATTAAATGTGTATGTGCACGTTTGGATAAGTAGAAGAACACTGCAATTTTCAGTATGAATCTTTTGTACTTTTGGAGTTGCTCTAAATATTTGCTTTGGTTTACTTGTTACAAGTTAGGTATGAAACAAATTAAATTGGCCCAATATCCTTGCAGAGAAGGTGCACTGCTAAAGTTTTGTTTTGCTGTTTAGCACCTGGTTCAAATATAATAGTCCCATGACAGCATCCCTGGATCATGCAGCTGCTTAGCGCCAAGAGTCACATGGAAATGCTGTTTGAGGACCCTCTGCCTGCAGTCCATGAGATACATGAATGAATGAATAAAGCTTCATTAAACCAGTGATCTGATTCAGTCTGTTTAGCCCAGTATTGCCTTCTGTCACTGGCAACACCTTTCCAAGATTTGGGAGCACATTTGTTTGTGCTCCTTTTAACTGGCTGTGAATTCCGGAGGTTAAGGCTGGGATCTTTTTCATGCAAGCAATATACTCACATAATAGTAGCAAAGCCAGTCCGCTCACGTAATTCAAGTTGGCGAAGTGGACAGAACCCGCGGGGAGGTCTTAGTCCCCACAGCTGAGTGCGGGCTCAGTGGTACTGCCACTTAGGTCAAAGCCCTGTAATGGCCAAACAGGGCCTGTGTTGCTGTGGGCCCCATTTGCTACAATGGTACTTTCAGAATCTCACTGGACTTGGTAGACGTACTTGCTGCACTTTGAATGCCTTCCTTAAACATAGAACGTTTATCCAATGACCATCAACTAGGCCAACGATTCCTTTTCAGCATGTGTTCTTTAAAAGGGGAATTCAAAGTGTATTGCATGTACACGTTTTCATCTTCCAAGAAAAGTTTTACTTTCCTTTATTGGTTTTATGGAATGAAGTAGTATTCCTTCTCTCTGAAACAAATGCCATCTCTAAAGACTAATGACAGGAATCGGTAACCAGACCACAGTCTCTTGAGACTACTACAATGCTTTATTATTTTTTTAATCACAGGCTTAACGTCTGGGTTGTCAAGCACTATTTTTTAATGGGTTACATAAATCATGTGGCAGAAATATTAATATTGTCAGGTAAACTCCCAGTGAAAGCAAGTAACATCTCGTAAGGGACAATTTACAAGCCTTTGCACAATTAGCAATGATGTTTGGTTACATAATTAATTGTTCTTACACATGAATGATGTTGTTATTTATGTTCAGCAAATGAAGGAGCTTTTGTCATGTCATTGTTCGTGATAAGCCGCTCCAATTTTAGAAGCTATAATACCAAACCTCTTGGGCCTTCTCAATATTACACAGGTGCAGTGATCTGTAAGATCTAGTTAGTGTTGGTTCAAACCTTCTAGCTTCCATACTGGTTGCATCCACAATATGACGGGTATTGCAGATTAGTGTGTTTGGCAATTATTAGGGTTCTCTTCCTATGCCTTCTTATAAAAATGCTATCATTTTCTAATATCTTTTATACTTTCTGGTTCTGTATAATTTGATGCTATTTGGCAGTCCCCCTCAAACTGCAGTTTCTCCTGGAGTTCTTTCTTTGGGAAATACATTGCTTGCATTTTCTGGTGCTCCATTTCCTAAACACCTCCTGTACACCAAATCAAAAATTTGCAGAAAGTGTTTATAAAAATGCTCTTTGCAAGACATCTGTTAGCAAGAGCATCTGTAAATCTGTTGGCAAGAGCATTGCTTAATGTTAAGCAACCAGGTGTTAATTAGGACCTCTTTTTTAAAAAAAAAAGAGATCCAAAAATTTTTAAAAAATCTGTTAATACGTATTCCTCCTTTTCGAAAAGAGAAATAATACAGATTTTAAGACATTCTGTCCTGTGTGCTTTCCACAGGGGTCTCTCTGATTCAGAGCAGATTGACTTTCTACAAAAAGCAAGGACTTCTATTCAGCATGAGAAATATGATGAAGCTGTAAGTGAGCTGTTGGAATCTATTCCATCTTCCTTCAGTCTTCTCTGTTAAAATGCCGTTTGCTTTTGCTTTTCCGAGCTTATCTGGTACAAATTCCTTCTTCCTTCTTTCATCTAGTGGTGAAATAACAATCCTATGATGTTCTGACAAAAGAAAGTCTTACAACTGGGGAATGTTGCAAGTTATTGAACTTTTTACTGTTGAAGCATGTGTAGGATTGTATCCTTAATGAATGTATGGACCCAATTTTGAAATCTAGCTTGTAAAGATATTTTTCTGTGTCCTTGGTTTACAAAGATTTTGTCTGAGCCTGGCTGTATTGCATGTCATTGCTGAGAACAATGGAATGTGATTGGACATTCTGATTTTATCAAACTGTCCAGAAGTCCCTGACACAGCACCTGTGGCTACCTTCAGTGATGCCCGTGAAAGGGCCCCCACCTCAGTGACCATGGGCACTCAAACCTCTCAATTTTTTTCTGTTTTAAATAAACATACAAAGTTGACAGTGTATGTGTGTGTGTGTAAGTAGCAGTGACACTTAGACTTCAACAAATATCCAAGTAGTTATCCATCAGAAGCTGGTATCTATGTGCCACCCATTTATATATCAACAACTTTCTGAGGGGAGCATCACATTTGATTTGGCCATTCCTTTTCTAATCTTGAAATTCAGTGGACTAAGCATCTGGCTCTTGTAAGACGTCCCTTGTAATGTTGCTTTTCTTTCCATAGGTAACTATGTGCAGCAAACTGATTTCCCTTGCTTTGGAAGGGCTTTCCTATTATCACACATACGACAGGTTTTTCCTAGGCATAAGTGTTGCCATGGGCTTTGTGGGCTGGACATTATATGTGATTCTGATTATTGTAAAAGCACATACTAACCTGCCTAAAAACATCACAATGAATAAGGTAAGTTAAAATGTGCCATGCAGTGGTCTCTTCTTTCTTGAGATGTGGCACTTCTGTGGCTCAGCATCTGATGGCTTTGTTCATCTGGTCCTGGCTGCATCTCTGTTGTCTGTCTGTCTTGCACAGTTGAAGTCATTGTGCCAGCATGACAGGGTGTTTGACCAGCATTTATCTATGTGCATTTGTCCATGTTGTGCATGGTAAACAAGAAAAGGTTATGTCGCACACTAAAGTTATCCTAATAATTAATGCCAAATAGATGTGCATACCTTAACATATCAGAGAAAAAGTTAGACAAGAATTCTACATCAAGCCTTGCTTTATATGTTCAGGCCTATTCTAATCTTTATTTCCTTTTCTTTATCTCCTTCTCCCCCATGAAAATTCAGATCATAAACTTTTTGGAGATGGGAACCTCTTTTCTCAGCTGTGTTTCTTTGAAAAATGTATTGTAAACTGAAGACTCTTTAAATAGTATTATCAGAATAGCTGGGAAACATCTGTGGATCTCAAGGGTTTCCTGCTTTTGGCGTTTTCTCATTTTCAAAAGGGGGCTACAGTACTGGTGGAATAGACAGGCTGTTTCAAACATTTCATTGCCCCAATGCAGATTTTTTAAGCAAGCTATGTTTCTTCAGTTAGGAAATGTAGAGACATTGAGTCTGAAAAAAATGAAGAAAACAAACATGTTTTGTTAGAGGGAAAAAATCTTGAAAGTTGCCTTATAAAATGAGAGAAATGGTCTTATTAAAGTGACTAACAAGGAATATTTATAGTGGAATTGTATAAATGCCTATTTCAATTATTTAATAATGAATTAATAATATTATTCTGCCTGATAGCAGAAGTTCTCTTTTGAGTCCAGAGGGGCTTATGCCAATGAATGGAGAGTAGGAGAGACATAATATTTCATACCTTGTATTTCCTTTCAAAGTGTTGTATCCACTATTAATCCTACAAAGAGTAGACCCTTTGAAATGAATTAAACTTGAGTTAGTTGTGACTAACTTAAGACCCAGTGGTTTTAACGATCTATTCCAGGGGTCCTCAAACTTTTTTAAATGGGGCCAGCCCGTTTAGGCAGAAAAAAGGCCTACAACTCCTACAATTGCCCAGGCAACAGTGGGTGGGGAAGCCAGGGAGCTGTAGGATTCCCTTCTATCTAAAGATGCTTAGGATTGCAGTCATAATTATATTGGGGTAAATGTAATGTTACATGTGTGGACTTCTGCTCAGTAGAGATGGAAGCAAGAGGAATTTCACTTCTTGTCCTATCTTCTGCAGTATCTCCCCCTCCCACTCACATGCCCCTACCCCAGATTTGCTCTGAAGGGCCTCCCAAACCTCTCACACAGATTTGGAGACAAACAGGTGGCAATAAGAGGAGTGGATTCAATCTGCTAATCATGTTCATTTGGAAGGACATTGCTGGACCCAACCTGTAAACTTTATCAGCCTGTATATCAATGCAGTTTCACAAATTAGCTGTTTTTAAAGCTAGTTTCAGTAGAAAAGTATGTCCATATAAAGTAGTTCAGGGCTGAATTGCGACAAAGGGTTACCGGATTTTCTGTACAGTTTTCCTATCTAGGTGGGGCCTGTTGCTATCTGTCTACTATGTAGAAATCAGTACTGAGAAGCCACAGTGGCATCTTTTCCCTGGCCTCAAGAAAGCTGGTTGTGTGCTGCACAATTTTCCTAATTCTTCTGAGGCACATGGCTTTTCCTGGCATCAGAGCCCAGGGAAGTGTGTGGTAGGGCTTGTTTTGAACCACCCCCTTCTGTGCATCTTGCTGAGTGTGGACAACATGGGATGCCATATGCCATCGGGATAATTAGGCATGTTGGGCAACTGGCTCATGCTGGAATGGAGAAGAGAAGGCATCTTGTGATTCCAGCCACTGTGCTTTCAAAATACCAAGCCTGCCAGAAACAAAGGCTTTGTATCAATCGTTCTGAGGAAATGGGGAATTGTTTGCGATTGTTTTAATTGGAAATGTAACATTAGATGTTCATAATATTAAAATAATATTTACAAGTGCCTATTTGTTTTTCAGGCTGCTGGCAGTCTTCTGCAGTATACATTTCTAGCTATAGGAGCATTGATAGCCATTTTTCTGTTCCTTCAAAGCTTGCCCTGGACCTACTATGTATATTGTCTATTACCAGTCCCAATATGGTATGCAGTATTGAAAGAGTAAGTTTAAACATGGTGTGGAATGGGGACCGTTGTAGTGCATTTGGGTCCAAATATTGCTTCCCCTGTGTGCATTGTCTGTTTTCTAAAGCCTTTGAATGAACTAAGAGTGGCTTCCACTAATGGGTCCTATTTGGCCACTTTATGTAAGTTCAGAAACTTTGACTGGAAAAGTAAAAATAATCTTACAACATGCAGACACCATTCCCACAAATGTAGATATGCCTGAAAGGCTGAGCAGAAGGAAATGATCCAGACAGGATCTGATCTTTCTATATGTCCCACAGAGCTAGATTTTGGCTCACAGTGGGCAATGAGTCAAGTTCTGTAAGGCCAATGACCGTGTATTTTATGGTGGACACAGTCATTTATCAGCAGAAATGCTTACAGAAAAATTGATATGTTGCAGTTGATGCCAATGAGCATCAAAGTTGGATGGATGAATGGAATGTTTGTGAATTATGGCTGGAGGGAGAGGATAAAGAAATAGACTCACTAAGTGGGGGGACAGGTGACATCTGCAGAATTTAACTCTGTCCTCTAAGTACTGATGGCATTTCTCAGAATTCCTACAAGTAGAGAATAATCCTTTTGCTCCTAGACAATATCAGAGGCAAAAGGATGGTTTCATTTCCCAGAACTGAGGTCAGAGACACTGTTCCAAACTTAAAACTGGGAACTGGACCTCCAGCACCCCTCCACAACACAGCTGGCGTGGAAAGAACCATGCTGGCTGCATCTCCAAGGTCAGAAAAACAACCTTGGAAAGGGCAAAAAGCAAGCTTTTGGTGGGTTGAGTGGAGAGGAGATTGGAGCGACCAGGATACAAGCTGTCCCCAAGTCTCTCCAGCTTTCTTTCCTCCTGCTCTGAGATGCTTCTGCTAGCTAGGCAAGAATGCCCAATATGCAGGACAGGAGATGTGGAGGCAAAGATTGCATCTGCCAGTCCTTTCATCCTCTATTAACCTCCAAGTTTGGGAGTTTATAAGCTTCATGATAGCTTAATTCATTTTAATTTGGTGCAGTTCAGATGGTGATGTCCTGGTACTTTAAATACTTTCTATGCGTTTGAAGGGGTATGTGCTCACTGATCTGTCTCTCCACTTCATGGACATTCCTGCTGTACCTTGAACATAATGTCTGAACTGGCTGAAACGACATGAATCAAAACATGTTTTCAAGTTTTGTGCTAATCGTATAAGAATACTGCTGTTTCTTATGTATTAAATGTCCATATGTATACATATGCTGTCTGGTTTAAAATGAAAATGATTATCTAGTGTAATCCTTCCAGATACCCTGTTATTCAAGGACTTAACACATCTCTCTTGAACTTTCAACGAACTCAATTTGTGGGATTCTTAGTAGTTTGCACCTTGGGAATTGAAATATTAGTAAGTAATGTAATGACTTTAAGATTATTTATCAAAAACATTTAAAGTGTAAATGTATCAAAAGAAAATCATAAAATTAAACCATAACAAAAGGAATGAACACAGGGTACTTACAAAAAGCTAAAAATGGAATATGCAAAAGGTTTTTACCTGTTTGAGGAAAATGTCAGTCTTGCTAATATACCAATAAGTAAATATATTTTTCTCTGTTTGGGAATGTTTGTTTCAACTAGGTATTCTCATTCTTCTATCGCTTTGCACTGAGCTTTGGCCTGGTTGCCTTTTCCGCATGGCCCTTGGTCACTCAGCTGTGGACACAAGCAAAGGTATTTTCCATAGAGTGAGGTCCTGGTTCTTTGATAAAAGGCTTATCTTCACAACCCTCTTGGGAATGCATACCTTCCTGAGAGCACTTTGGGGTGTTTGCTTGAACTTAGCAAAGCAACCTCTAGGGTCGCCTTCCCCTGCATGGCACCCTTCAGATATGTTGGACTGCAACACAATGGCTGGAAATTATGGGAGTTGCAGTCCAGCATATCTGAACAGTGCCTTGTTGGGTGTTCTCTAATTGTTTAAATGTTCTCTAAATTAGTTCAGCTTAAGGGAGCCATTTAAAATTTGTAATGTCATCAGAAATGTAGTGGGGCCTCTGTCACCTTGCTCACATGACACAGTTGATTTATTGTGGGCTGGGTGTTTATGCTGGGTGTTTGCAACTGCCATTTTAAATAAGCTACCTCTGCTCAAGAAGATTGGGTGTTATGTCCAGCCATCACATGCTATTCCAGGGTTGAATAATCCCCGATTAGTAGTATGGTTATATGAGGGAATTACCCACATTGGTTGGATTCACAACACAGTGCAACCACCAATCTCTTTGATCAAGTGCTACATAATCAAAATAGTGGCCTAGTACACGCTCATTGTGGGTTTAATATCCCATGATGAGCTGTCTGTGTCGTGAGAATCAGTCCTGCGTGGCAGAGTAATCAAGATGAAGGAAGCATTTCAGCATACTTCCCTGCATCAAGTTCTACCTTTTTCTGAAACTTAAAACATCTGACTCAAGGGTGAGCTCTTGCTTTTATTACGTTTTGATCTCGTGACCTCCAGAATAAACTCTTTAGCCACAGAAAGCTGGTATGAGCATTCTCACCCTGAGATTTTGGCTAACTTGTACAGCACTTTACACTGCAACTGCCCCAAGGCGAACTCTGCCAGGGCAGGGCAGCACAGCACCATCTTTCCTGTCATGTTTATGACTTCTTTTTATAATAGTTGTGATGAGATAAACCATGGCGCATACACAAGGAAGACGTGCACCTTTTCTCCTTCAGCTTCTGGGGTTTACTTCTGACTGAAATAGTAGCCAGGAGGCTGCATCTCGTGTGTATGGATATTTTCAATTAGGATTTAAACACCTTCGGATAACAACTAACATGACTTTATGTGAGCCCTAGTTTTTTGCTTAGCGATCTACATCATTAGCTCTGTTTGCAGATGTGACTCATCTGTTTTGTTTTTGTTTTTGTTTTGTAGGCAACTGTGCTAGGCTGGATTCTTTCATGTTTGCTTCTGGCAGTCTTTCCCTTGTTGCCTGTTGTGGGAAGGGAGCCAAATATCTCTCTGGTGTAAGTGCACAAATCAAATTGTTTCAAGTTTCCACTTGCTCGTTCAACATGCACAAATTTCACCTGATTCCTGTTGTTGGTACAAATCATGTTATCGAAAGCCCATCAACCTGTTGTGGGAATTCAGAATTCAAATAATCTGGGGAAATACATTATTCATAATTATATTTAGCTTATGAGGTTCTTTAATGAACACCTCATACTATATCCCCCATCTCTAGAGAAGCATGCCATATAGTGTTGTGTAAATATAATCCTTGTGCCCTATATATGCAGTGTAAATGCATCCTTTCACTGCTGTTTCAGACTGGAAATCAGAGCTTTCCAATGGTTCTTGAAAGGGGTATTGAGCCTCCTTCAGTCCTAGGGCCGAGTTGCATTTCAGAGAAGCTCCTGAAGTCCACAGGCCCTTGGTGCTGAAGGCAAAATGCCAAAAGTCCAAGCATACTGGAGCGCAACGCTCCTACTGTCTGTAACTAAGCCTTAGGAGAGGAATTCCAGCCTTTTAGAATAGGGGAGAAAACGGCCCAAAAGCTGGGAAACCACCAAAGGATTGGTTGTTGAAGAAAGGGGGAGGGGTCAGAAAATTGAGTGTGGCCTTCTTAGAAACCCCAGAGGGCTGGATGTGCCCCACAAGCCTGTGCTACCGCATCCCTGATAGCATGGAGACCTTCTCCGCTGGAAGAAGGAGAGTACCTGGAACAGCACGGAAGGAAAAGAATGATGTGCTCGCACCCTGTTGGATTCTGAGTGCCTGTGAAGTGAACAGAAGTCACTTCAGCCATGTTATTCACACAGATAGTGCAGCATAGGAAATGGCTGAAACAGTTCCTGCATTTCTGAGTTCATATGTGCAAAGGCTACTCCTCTGTGGCCTTAAAGGAGTAAAGCTAACTATTCATTTTCACCCAAGATTGGCTTTTGAATTGGCTGATAACAAAGCCAGCACAAAGGTGTTACAGAGGTGTGTGGGGAAGGAGGGGTCACTTCTGGACACCTACAGAGAGCTCGTGTCATAGTTCAGGTTCTTCTGTCAAAGGGAGGAGGCAGAAACTATAAGTCAAATTGGAATCTGGTAAAGATGCCAGTTAAGAAAAGCAGCCCTTTCTCTGAGAAGGAACCAGCTTTTAGAAAACTTACTTGCATGCTTACCTAAAGGTTGTTCTTATTTGTGATAAATGATGAGCCCAATGGCTGCTTAAAAGGCTTGGAATAATAGAGGCTTTCTCAGATATTGGGACTTCTGCAAGGAAAGGAGGCTGTGGTCTAACATTCTTCACTCTGACACTTCCCTCCTTCCCACACAGACCTCCACGATGCTCAGATTTATCTCTCATGCATGTTGGATAGCTGCCCTTCAGTGGTCCAGTAATTCAGTCTCCACAAAAACCATTCTGAAACTGTTCCAAAAGCCATACCTTGTCTCATGAAGGACTGACAAGAGCTTACTTTTTACAGAACTGCAGCAGGCTTGCTGATGCTGCTGACAGCTTCATTCTACCTGGTGGCATGTCTGTGGAAAAGCAAAAAGAGCTACTTGCATCATAAGGATCTCAAAGTATATCTCCTTCAGGTCAGGAAGTTCTATGAACTTGAAATACAGAGCATTACTTTCACATTCTAAAAGAAATTAGTTCTGCATATTCTTCTGAGTTAACCTACTTCTTACGAGTATCTAGACTTTTGCCAGACATTTGAAATTTTGAAACACTTAGGCTTGCTGGTTACAATCCAGCACTTCGAAAGAGAAAGCAGAGTTGCTCGTGTTCTTTAAAAGAGGAGGACATCACCTTGATAATTAAGAAACCTCTGTACCTTTTGGGTGTTTGTCCCTTCACAAAAGCTAATGGGAGGATCCTTGTAGTCCAATAAGGACTGCTGTGTAACTGAGTAGTTTCATGAAGTTAGTGTTAGGTAAAGGGTAGACACAATGTGAAAAATAATATTAAACAAGAAAGGCATTAAAAGTGTGTGTGTTTTTAATTAACAGTGTTTACTTTAGCACATAAATTGTTGCATGATTTGTATTTGAGGATCCATTTAAGATGAAAGTTGACATAAATATAGTTGGTTGCTCTGTTCTTAAAAAACTCACTTCCATACATACTTGGCAATGTAAAACTGCCAGAAAAGATAGCTACCAATCTCTTTCTCTGGAGCTTTGGAGACAACCTATTCAGTGCTATGGACAAGTGATGCTGGAGATAAACAAAGCCTTGAGCGTGAAACCTGGTTAAAAAATTTGGAGTTAGGAAATACTTCTCTATATCAGATTGGTTTAAGACCTTTAATACCATACAAAAGTATGTATGCTTATTTAATAGTAAGTGTTTTACACTGCTAACTTCCATATAAGTATATGGAAGCTTGCAGCCCTTGGCATCTTGAGTTGTTTAGTCTGCAGGCCATGTTCCGTGGCACACTTACTTCTGCTGCAGTGTGAAGTGAATCACATGGATCGATCTATGAGTAGGAGGAGTTCACAATTTTGGCAGGTGATTGTACTTAGATGATCTCTTGCATAGTCTCTCTTTCTTTCTCTCTGGAACAATGTAGCATAATCAAATGTCATTATTTCCATCTTTACTAACAAGATTTAGGTATGGTGAACAGAGCAGCCTTGGTTAAGAACTTAGGCAAAAGATTTAATCATTCAGGGTATATTTTGATATTCTGTACAAAATTCTTGTGTGGGGGGGGGAATGTAAATAAGACTTTGCAAAATTACAGCAAAATAAATATGATTCTCTTCTTTACTTTTTTATTGCTGCTCATTTTTAAAAGCTTAAAATATTTCCTCTTTGCCCTGGATTCTCAGCATGAAGGACAAATATGGTTGTGTAGGGTTGACACTGTGGGTGGGAAAAGAGATAAAGAACATCCCTAGCTTATGGCCTGAAACCACTTTGTCAAAATAGGTTATGCTTTACCATTATATACAGTATATTTCTGCATATCTGTTGCATAGTTTAAAACCAGGTCACTTTAGAATGTAAGCTCATGGTTTATACTGGAACATAAAATAACACTGAAACTTCCTTCTTCTCGAGACTGTATCTTTGTCCACTTCGTACTAAGGGTTTTTAACATTGTTAAAGAAGTAGTAAAATAATTAATAGTTAATGAGGAGCAGGGATCGTGGGGATGGGGTGGTACAGCTTGTACCACTGATGATGTTACAAGTGCTGTCCAATGGAAACTTATGCATCTTATGCAACTTGCATAATGCAACTTGCATTCCACATAGCAGTGGCAAAAACAATAGACACACTGCTATTGCCAGAACAGCGGTACTGAAAAATAAAAAGTCCCCAGCAATAAAATAGCGTGGTTTGGGTGATGGAGGGGTATTTCTTTGCACAGTGCATGGAATTCACAACCCAAGGTGGCTGCTGGTTTGGATGGCTTGAAAAAGGTAAAGCTATCCATGTTCATGGAAGGTAAAGCTGTCCAGAGATACTGGTCGCAGTGGCCATGTATCAGGGAGCACACCTGCCCAATGCCTGTTGCTGGGAATCATAAGCAGGAGGGAGCTGCTGCACTGATGTCCTGGGGTGGGCCCACCATTGGCATCACCTTTGCTGCAGCGCGAACAGAATTCTGGGGCAGGGAGGCTTTTGGTCTGATTCAGCATGGCTCTTCTAATGTTCGTATTTCAGTTCCCAGTTCATTACTAATCTTGTTGTTGCAGTAGCTCTGCACTACATATTGCTGCTAAATTTCCTTTAGCTGATGTTGAGAAATGCCTGTCAGCTGCTTCTATAGGAAAATTATATTTATGACCTGTAGAAGGCATTTCCCCATTTCTACAGTTTATATCAATGTGTTGGCACCTGAGATACTAACATTTGCCTCTGAAAAGGCCCACTAAGAAACTCCCACTCTTATAGGCGCAATAAATTGAGGTGCAACTAACAGCTTTGATCATTTATATCATCCTTCAAGATAGAGACCCAGTTTGCACTTCATGGGCGAATTTCCCCATGGCAATTTTTGTTGTGGCAGAGCTGCCATTGTGAATATTTGAGCCACATGCAAACATGGCAAGGATGGTTTGTTGGGGTGGTGGTCAACTGCAGCTGAAACACTGCATCTTTCTTTTACTTGCTCCCAACCTCCCCAGTGTTCAGCTTCTTTGGATGACTCATGGTTCTGTTATTGTAGCAGACTCCATTTTCTCTAAACCATCTTTTACTTTACACGCCTCTACCATTATTTTTCCAAGCTAAAAAGAGCCTCAGACCTAATAACTTCTGCCAAGGGAGCTATTTTATCCCCTGATCATTTTGGTTGGCCTGATTCTAATTCTATATCTTTTTTGATGTGTGATGACCAAACTTGTAGGCAGCATTCCAAATGAGGGGCACACCATAGATTTGCATGAAGGCAAGGCAAGAGTGACAGTTCCATTTCTGATTCCCTTCCTAGTGATTTCCTGTGTGGAATATGCCTTTTTCATAACAGCTGCATGCTGGGGCAACACTTTTGTCAAGCCATGCGCTACAACTTGGGAAGGGACTTTATCTCAGTGGTTCCATCCAGAGGGTCCCAGGTTCAGTCTGCAACATCTCCGAGTAGGGCTGGGAAGAAACTTTGCCAGAAACCTTGAACATGACTGTCTTTCCAGTGCCTGGCCTTCAGCCTGCTCCTGGACTGTAGTGTTGACTCAGTAAAAGGCAGCTTCTAATGTTTCAAACCCCAAAATGTATGGTCAGACTGCATCTACAACTATGAGAAATTGGGGGGGGGGGTTATCCCAGTGTGCATCACTTTGCACTTGCTTTCACTGAACTGCACTTGCCATCTGAATGCCCATTTCTGGTTCAAATCTAATCTCAGATGTGAAAGCTTTGAATAACCGCAGAGGTTCCATTATCTCTCAGCCTGAGTTCTCCCCTGTCTTTAATATGAGAATAATAAAACTGGCCTATATAAGATGAATGAGGCAATATAAGATGAATGAGGCAATATAATTTGGCATTTAGGTCATAGGGTTCTGGTGGATTGCATTTAAATATTACTACCCAGTGCACATGTAAACAGGAGTTTTACCAGCAGGCAGAAATATTCATATCATCGGAGGTAATATGAATATTTATCTGTCAAATGTATAATAGCTATTTAATAGTAGTAATTCTTAAATGTAAAATATTTTTAAAAATAATTTCTTACCACCAGGTGTCACTGTAAATAAAGTATGGATGGAAGAATTAAGGGGCTAAACAGAATAAGATAAAAACCTAAATAGATTGCAACTGTGTAATTTGCTGTAGCCTTGTAATTAGTGTTTCCCTTTTACTTGCTTTGAAATGCCTTAATTTATGCATGCGTGTTTTTCTGGCATGAGTAAAAGGGGCTGACTTGGCCTGTTGACTTTGCCACAGAATTAACCTTTCCAAATGCAAAAGGTAAAAATAAAATGATATTCACAAAGGGTGTAATTGATTTGTTCCAGTCATCATTATTTCCCATTTGGCTGGTCATAAGGGAACTTTTATTTGGTCACAATACATTTCAATAGCCGTAAGTCAGCAAGTAAGAAGTTCCTAGATTTTTGATTAAGAAAGATCATTTTCAGTAAATTAATCTTCACCTGGGGAACAATATTTGCAATTCCATCCCTAGTTTAACTAATAAAAGAAACCATGTTTTGTCTTACCTTTCCTTTGCTTGACACTTGTCTGGATTAACTCCTGGGCTGAACAGGTTGTAATGGAGTTTCCTAGTCAAATTGGCCATCAAGGTTTGGCCAATTACCTGAAAACACGTCAGTATAAGAGGTCAGCTTACCCTGCTTTCTGCACTCAGAATCCTTTAAGTTCTGCTGACAATATGGAAGGAGCAGGGTGGCAAAGACTGTGGCTCCATTGTGGGTTTTAGAAGTGAATGAGAGGACTCTGCTTCCAGGTCACTTTCATTTCATGCATTGTGCAGTTGCAAGTCATCAAAGAAAGTCCCAGTATCCTTGACAAACACTATCAGAGCTCTTTGAGGAGGATGTGTATTTGTGTGATGGACATGTTTGGGATTGCTTACTATTATTGAAATGTACACTTGAAAACTTGGATACTCTTAAAATGTGATGTGTCAGGCAGGCCTGTGTGTGCTGATGGAACTAAAATCAGTATGAGGTTGTAATCTGCCACCTCCAATTTGATTTACTCCTGTTTGGGACTTGTATACACTTTCCCTTTTGTTATCCTCTTGAATGGGCTTGAAACATTGATCACCAAGCCATTAATCTCTTGTATGAAGCTAAATAAATTCCTAATTAGCTTCACCAAATTTGTCTTATTTCAGAATCTCTATTTTATTTTATGTTTTTGCTTGTGTCTGTGCCTTGTGACTGACAGTGTGGAATTCTGCAGCTTTACCAAAGTACATTTTAAAAAAAGAGAGAAGGGTAACAAAATAGCAAACTTTTGCATGTTTAACTGTTGAGGCTAGAATGGCAGCAGCTTTGATCTATTTTCACTGTCATGAAAGTAGCCTTGGATCTGCCTAAAACAAGATCTTCGGGCTTCCCCACACACCCAGTGTATATAGTGTGTTTTTGTAGTTAGTGGTTAGGGCAGGTTGCGAAGGTCGCCTTTTACAGTTTCAGAGCAAACAGCATTACGCCAGCACCGCCTTACTCCGGTGCAACATCTGAAAAAAGATCTTGGGGAACTTGCTGCAGATGCCTTCTGGGCTGAAATAATTGGTACACATGTTTCTGACACACACAGATGCATCTAGAGTAACAAACTCCTTTCCATATGGACTTTCTTCTCTCCTTACCTGCTGGTGTGGGTAGGATAATGCTTTCTAAGCTGGGACAATGAGAATCTAATGCATTCTTTTTTTATGACTAGATTCTCCAGGCTTCCCCCCACCCCATTTTGCTGCACAGGTTTCAAATATAACACAGAATGGTGGTTTGTTGTATATACTGGCTTTGGTAAAATTAAAATGTGGGAAGGTAGCAGTATATTAATCCATAAGTCCAAAGTCTGTACTGGGTATGGTAAGAGGGATATATTACACAGGGCTTGCACTTTGAATTGTCACATGATGGCACATCAGGCAAAGTTCATTAAACCAGCATAAAACCCAATGCCAAATAACTGCTGCTTGATGACCTGCTCTAATTACCTCTCTAATCTGTAACTCTGAAAGCTTGGAAATGGATTCTTATTGACAAATCTCTCTCTTAAATAAACTCTGTTGAAAGTCTTCCTCTTGAGTGGGTTGGGTTTTCGTTGTTGTTCCCCTATTTATTCTGTCTGGGTGAAACCAAGCATGAAATGCAGTTATGCAAGTATGAATTGACAGTTTGCTCTGGGAGTTGCTGAATAGTTTACGGGAGCGTCCAAAATATAATGGGGTTATACAATACTTAATATCTCCAGAAATGTATGATGAAATGAAATGTCGAACACTGGGTGGTTCCAGGACTTCTATCCTGTTTGTTTGTTTAGAGTTTTGACATAGTTCCTTACATTTGGTGATATGTTCTGTGCTCCAGTACAGGTCCAGTATTTTGAACAGGTAATGAATGTTTGTGTGAAAGACTTACTAGCCAGCTGACATGACACCTCCAGCCCATGTTGCCCAGGATCTGGTCTAAATAGACATGCTGCCTCTGATTCTGGAGGGGCTACACAGCTTTCAGAACCAGTAGCCATTGATAAACTTACTCTCTAAGAATTTTCTCATCTCCTTTTAAAGCCATCCCAGTTGGCAGCCTTCACAACATGTCTGCCCACTCTCATTCCACTCTGGCTGTCTGCATTTTAACATAGCTTGCTACCTAATCCTTTTTTAAACTGCAGATGTTACAGACCTTTTGCGATCATTCTGTATTCTAAATTATTATCTCACCTCTAACGGATATGTAACAGGAGATGGGGATGGTAAATAACTTGTGTGTGTAGGCAGGTGCAAAATGTAAAATGAGCTGTTTCAGGTGGAACAGGGAAGGGGAGAACTTGCTAAATATTTTTAAAGATATCCCAATGGAGGGCATAATAACTGGGTTCAATTAATGTAACAAGCCAGAGTGCTTTGTAAGCCAGGTTGGTTGGTTGTGTTGTCTGAACCCAGGAGCATTACATGTTAGCCACTCTGTCTGGGTTTATACAGCACAGTAAGCCACCCCTGGCCTATACACTGTGGCTTCTTGTGTTGTGTTAACCCACCAATGGCTGGGCTCTAACAATATAATCCATACTCAAGGGCTGACTGTGGGTTGCACATTACACCATTTCTTGGACCCAGCTATGGTAATACCTGATGAACAACCCAAAAACAAGTCATAGGTTCATTTCATTACTTGTTCATGGCTGTGCAGGTACATTCAGACAAAACCCACATTTCAACTCACAGTTCAATGACAACTCATACTCAACCCTTGAGTGTCAGTTATCATGTTGTCTGAACCCAGCCAATGTGGTGTTGGAGCAGCCGGAATGCTGTGGGGATGAAAGGAAGTAGATTTAATAGGTTCTTTCCTGGAGAGGAATGTAGCAAGCCACCTCTAAACTGCATGAGAACATAAGAAATGGAGGTGTCTCATTCACAGTAAACAGTGCTTTCCTTGCACCCTGCCAGATAAACTCGGACACTTCCCTTACTAATGTTCCAAATATGTAAGACATTGCTCAGACTTGCTTGTATTTCCTTTCTTTTGTCAGTGTGGCTTTTGTGGGGGAAATAGTGATCTTTACTTTTAAGACGATGAATATTCCTCAGTCATTGTGATATACTGGAACCACCTGGCTCAACTATCCCTTTCTTTCCTCCTCCTCCTCAGTTGGCGAGTCTGGCATTGTCAACGTATATTGTGAATAGCACCCACAGCAGTCTTCACAGCAAGCAAGGATTGCCTGTAATAAATCAAATCATTAGCTGGACAACATTAGGTAAGCCTACTTATCTTGACTGAGATTATCTTGGATACAGATAAAGTACAGAATGTCGGCTTACTGGTCTTTTGGCTGTTTATATGTATGTCCCCATGTTTAAGAATGTAACCTGAAGGAACATGACTTGACCAGAATCAGCTAGCCTTGGAAGGGTCATGTTCTGTAATTATGTATAAATGAAAGAATCCACAAACATTGTCTGAAAAAGAATAAGACACCTGGAAAGGACATACTCAGCTCTGCGTGAGCAATACTAATTCAGAAACAGGTTGATGTTTGAAGGTGACTCATGCAGTGTGGTGTTCATGAGAGGCCTCATAAACTAGTGCAGAGTTCAGATGATCCTTACAGGTTGAGGCCTGAAGCAGTTCCTGAACCTGGAATTGCAGGCACGTCTGATGGGCTTCATTCTGTGTACCAGCTGAGAGAACTCTGGAGAAATCTGCCAAGGAAGCCTCTTGGGGCCTCTTGCAACTCTGCAGAGCACATGTGCTGCATCCAGTTGAATGATTCAGAGAGCAGGTGAAGAAAAGCACCTGTGCCTTTAGGAAAGACCTTTCCAGCAACTGGTAGGACCCCTCAAGAATGGTTCTTAGTCAAACTGTGGACAGCAGCTGGATGGACATATGATTGTGTGGTGTAGTGATCACAGAGTTGGAGAGAGAGTGGGAAGTCCCAGGTTGAAATCCCCACACAGGCACAAAGCTATCTGGATGGATTTAAGCCAGCTGCAGTCTCTCAGACTAATTTGCTATGTCAGTGGCGCCATCCTGAATCAGACCAAGGGCCCATCCAGTCCGATCTGTTCACATAGTGCCCAACCAGCTGCCTGCAGGAAATCAACAAGCAGGACATGAATTCAGCCAAGCCCTCCTGTGTTCCCCAGCAATCAGGATATATAGGTATCCTGTAATGCCTTTAATACTGGAGGAAGTATCTAGCCATAAGGACTAGTAGCCACGGATAGCCTGATCTCCATGAACTTGTCCAATCCACTTTTAAAGCCACCCAGTCTGGTGACCGTCTCTGTATCTTGGGGTAGTGAATTCCATAGCTTAACTTTGTGCTGTGTGCAGGAGTGCAGCCCTTCATATGTCCTGAATCTCACTATTCAGATGAATAGAATGTCCCTGTGTTTTAGCATTCATTTTATTAATTTATTCATTATTATGAATTATAATGACTCTCATTGTGAGAGCCAGTGTGGTGTAGTGGTTAAGAATTCTGGATTGGGACTCAGAAGATCTGGGTGCTTGACTCCACTAAGCCATGAAGCCAACTGGGAAACTTTGGGTCAGTCACTGCCTCTCAGCCTAACCTACCTCACAAGGTTGTTGCAAGGGGAAATGGAGAGGAGGAGAACCTTGTAAGCCACCTTGGGCTCCTTGCAAGAGGAAGAAAGGCAGCATCCTGCCTTTTTCTTTGCAAGGAGGTGAGTTACATAATCCTTCTCCCTCATGTTTTATCTTCATCAGAACCCTGTGAGTTAGTTTGGGTTGAGAGTTAGTGACTGGCCCAAATTCACCCAGTCAGCTTCATGGCTGAGTGAGGACTGGCAACTTTTCTTCCACATCCTTGTTCAACCCTGTAACCACTGTCTATCAGTGTGATAGGAGAAGAGAAAGATATATCTTATTCACCTGTCTCACACCATGTGTAATTTTCTACGCTTCTGCCATGTCTCTACTTGCCTTTTTTCCTAAGCTAAACAGTCCCAGATGAGATCCTGGTTCACCTAGAATATAATCCGTCTGCTTAAACATGCAGGCACAGGAGGGAATGGGTGCATTGCTCAGGGGTGGCTGTGTCAATTGTGGGTTGTGCAGTAGGAGCAGAAGGGTGTGCTGCAAGCAACTTGTCGGTCTCCTCCCTCCCAAACATATCTAGCTGCCCACTGTTTTTACACTGATTGGCTGCCTTCCCTGCAAACAGCTGCGTTGTAACCTTTTCTCCCTAGGGGTGTCATTCTGCCTCATAAGCTTGTCGTAAGGATAGAAGCAGAGGGGATAATAATCTTCTTGGGTACATGCAAATACAGTGGATTTAAAACAAGAAAGTCTGTTGCACTGTAAGACAGCTTCACATGTTCCACATAGCAAGAAACCTGAGTTGGCTTGGTTAGTTAATGGGGCACCAAACATTTAACCATAAACACCAGTTTATGTTTCTAAGAACATTTTTCAGATTCGGATATGAATTCAAACAGGGCCGTTCCAGTGTCGAGCCTTTCTTTTTCTGTTTGCAAGACAAACATGTCTTGGTGCTTGTGTTTACGTGTAATCACAGAGCATGGGATGTCTGTTCTCCCCAGCTGTTGCCAATCTAAGGGTAGGCACCTGACCTCTAGAAAGGCTTTGGGAGTAGGGCTTGCTTATTTTCTCTCAACATCCTGCTACCTTGTTCTTGGTGCTCCAGGCTGCCAAACACCTGCCTTTGTCTCGCTAACCCTTCTCGACTTTTGTCTCAACGCTCTGCTAACTCGACAGGAGACAAGTCCACAGTTGTCAGCATAGTTAAGGCACAAGATTCAGCACTAGAAGTCTCTTAACAGCCAAAAGCCAGAGCGGATTAGGCGACATCCCTCTGATGCTCAGAGAAGTCTTCTGGGTTAGGCTTCCTCCCTGTTCTCAGCATTTAGGGATCTTGCTGCTCACGGTGCATGCAGGCTGCTTTCTGCTTTTGCCTTGCTCTACTGGTGTTTCTGCTTTCCTCCACCCCGCTTGGCAAGAGCCAATTCCACTTCCAAGTTACAGTCAGGAAAAAAGCCACCTTGGCTAGTATAAATGCTTCTCATGGGACATACCTAATACTCTCTTCTTTCTGGGATGTTTCCCTGGCTTTCAGGGAAAGGGCTGAAATGAAGGGCTGAATGAGACAGGGCTGAAATGAACAGAAGGTCTGAGTGCCTGTGTAGGTATATCTACATGCAGCTTACTCAGGATAGTGTGCAGGAAAATATGGGTGGCACTGAGTGCTTCAAGATCACATTTTGAGCTTTATGTTTAGTTATTTATTGAAAAGTATGCTTAGGCTGGCTTTTAGGGTGTAACCTTCTCAAGGCAGCATAGAAGTTAAAAACCACTCAAAGTAGATCCAGAAAGAATTCATAAACGCAGAGATTTAGGAAAACCCAATAAAAACAGAATTACTAATAACAGCAGAAGTCTAGACATTCAAAGAAGGCAAGCAAAGAAGGTAGATTTTCAACACTTTCCTGAAGACCTGCGAAACAGTGGCCTGATGAACCTCCTGGTGAAAGCTGATTCCAGAAGTATCTGGTCAGCACAGACAACTAAGATTTATGCTATGACCGAGTCTGGTTGTGGCCTAAATGCCAGCAGTGATTAATTTAAAATAAATATTATGAATAGGTGTGTTTGGCCTCAGCCCTACCTTAGAATGATTCCCATGCAGCCGAAGAGCTTGTTTTTCTAAAAGGGATGCCTAACTGTGGTTATTTATCAGATGATAGGGAAAATATATTTTTTTTAGGATTACTGCATATCAAATCCTGCAGATTACTGCATATCCAGGATTACTGCATACTACTTCTGAATGCATATTGGTTCTTCCCGCTTCAGGTCAGACCTACCCATGTTGAAATGGCAAGGTCTGAAAACGAATTCTGCTTGCATTCACTGGAACATAAGTAGAGCTCTCAGTGCAATTCAGTGATTGAACCGAGGCATTGGAACAGGACTTACAGTAAAGTTTTGAAGGCAAACTCCAGGCCCTGTGATGGGTGAACTTTGGACCACACATTTTTTTATATCCAAAGCTTGAGAAATGATGAATTATGAAGTGGATAGCTGTACTTCTACTAACTGGGCGGTCTGCATTACATTTCCTAAGTGTCTCCTAGATGTATTGTGAGGCTAGACTCTTGCCTTTGCCTTGATACTTCTTGGAAAAACTAATTTTGAGTCCATCTCTGTCCTTCTCCATTTGGCATTTCAGTCTTTATGATGTACTCCACAGACTGCTAGTAGAAGACAGACTAAAGGTTGTGTGCATGTGTGTGTATGATACGACACTGCCCTTCAGCAGGAGAGCAGATGATGTTGAGTGCCATGGCCACCCACACTGACAACATCTGGCCTGCAAACATTTGTGTTGGGGGATCATCTGGTCCTCACCCCATTGATGTTCCCTCTGCCCCAGTTTAACTTCATGTACTGGAGGACGGGCAGGAAATTGCATAGAAAAACCACATGCCAAATATCTTCCTTTTTCATGCCATAAATTCAAAATGTGTGTGAACTTTGCAGTGGCATTTTCACCAGGGAGCCCCTCAATTGCTGTTGCAGCTGCATCTTAACTTCGGTGAACTTGAATGCAAATCAGCTCATGAGTAAGCCATTGTTTTAACCTTTGGGAACCTTTGTGAAGGCCAGTATTTTTGCACTGACAGATGATACTTTATCCATTGCAGCTTCATCCTTGATAGTGCCTGTACTCAGCCCCACATTTCTCTTCCCACGGCTGTTGAGCATACTTCTCTCTTTGATGTCAACATACCTTCTGCTTAGCACAGGGTAATTTTTTTTCTTTCTAAATGAATTTTCAATATCTTGTGTATTATTTTTGTTTAAGTTAAACAATTTGGTGCTCTATAGTTTATTTTGCCAGATACTTGCAAAGACAACACATTCAGGGGTTGTGTGTATATGATTTTCAATCTTAGAGTTGCCCTATGTCTGTATGATGCATGTACCCAGTAGTGGTGTGAATCTCTCAGATACATTTCAGTGGCCTGTGTGTTACAATCTGTTCACAAGAACGCAAATTTTAGTTCAAAAACACTAGAAAATATGGAACCCGCCTTCTTCCCCCACCCTCCAGAAATAAGCGTAAAAGATCAGAAGAGGGAAAGCAAATAAAATGAAAGGCCTACATCCTTCCATTTCCAGTACTTACTTCTGTGATCGTATTTGAAAATGTCCATTTCAAATTAAGACAGAATTGTCAATATGTGTTCCAGGAATTTGGGATTTGCTGTGTTAATCAAAATGGTATGCTAATAAGTGAAATTTATATACTTGAATATGTGATCTTATCCTTATGACTATCAGATGCTGAACAAGAAGACTCCATCCACCCAACTCTGCATGGAAGGGGTGGTAGTACAGAACTAAATTCTATGCCTTGGTTCCTTTATTTTCACTTGCTGTCAAATTGTATTGATATAGGTATGAAGCTCTTTTCCCTCTGGCATTGGCTTTGGTCATGTTTGTGTGGATAAATATGGAACAAGAAGCACTACAACATTACGGAGTTTCCCTTAAGGCAAAGGTAATGCCTCAGCATAAGGGTGTTTAGCCTGAGGAAGCACCACCTAGAGCAGTTCTTTGTGAGGCTGTGAGCTGGCTGTATCAACTTTTGGTTTCATTGAAGAATTGAGATCTGAGCACTGTGCCAAGATCATTTCCTTTCCTGCTTTTCCATGACATAACCTCTAGGTGGCACTGTGGTATACCAGGGCAGCACAAATATGCAAGAGGAAATTGTGCTGTCCTTCACTTTCACAATGAACTGTAGCATTTTCCCTCCTCTAAGAATTTAACTGAAAGTGCTGGTTAAAAACAGATGCAAAGCTGGAAGGTCACAGTGTCACCTAAAGAAACCATCAACAACAATGAGAAGGAAGGATGAGTGCATGATAAATGCCTCATATAGAAAAGGCCTGAGTTATTGAGCACTAACTGCCCACCAGCTTGCTTTATCTTTAATAACTTTGACTAAGACTTGCTGTTTCTGTTGTGGGGCTGCTGATAACTGGATATTCTTTGATTGGTGCTCACACTCAAAAAGTAGTACAACTTCTCTTTCCCTCCAGTAGCAGGAACCCAAGTGTGTCATGAATGAGGGAGTGCAGGAGTGGAGTCTGAAGTATCAGCAGCCAGCTCAGCTAGGCAGGTGCAACTGCTATCCATCAGTGCTCAGTTGTTTTAAGAAATGTGGGATAGAAATGAGAAAGACCCAGCAGCTGTAAAACTGTTGTTCAGCTATAGCTACAGAGCATGCAGGGATAGCAACCAAACCATCCTCTCTGGCAATGTGATGTAGCTGCTAAACAGCCAATGCAATTTTAGGCTGTACTAATAAAGTGTCTCCATCATGAAAATATTAGTAGCATCGCTATATTGTGTGCTAGGCAGGCAACATCTGGCTGCTGAGTCCAGTGCTGAGCTCCACCCTTTGAGACAAAGTGGGTGTATCCATAGAAGAGTATTCGGGAAGGCGAGGGGCCTGGAAACCAAGTCCTGTGAGGAATGGAGGAAAGAGCTGGGTCATGTTTTGCATGGAGAAAATCATGGGGCGATATGATAGTGTCTTCAGTCATGCAGAGGATGGACCAGACTTGTTCTCTGCTGTTCCCAAGGGCAGAACAAGTAGATGGAAGTTGCAGGGAAGCCTGCCTCAGTTATGCACAGGGAGACATGTCCTAATGGTGAGAGCTGTTTGGCAATGAAATAGACCGTCTTGGAGGTGGTGTGCTCTTTTTCACTGGAGGCTGGACAGCCAACTGCCAGGACGTTATAGCTGCCTCCTGGGTTTTTCAGAGGATAGGCTCGAGGACCTCCAAGGCCCCTCCTAACTCCTTGATTTAATTTGTGTTGGAGTAACCCAATGTCCAGGGTACACTTGAGGGTAATGTATATCAGATGCTGAAAAGCAAAAGAGGGGAGAAAGCTAACATGCTTTGGCGATCTGGCACTGTAAGTTCTTCCCTGTGTAGCTTGAGCTGCAAAATAATCTTTTGTGAATTGTGAAAATATGTCTCTTTCCTGTACGTTTGGGAGAAGAAAGAAGAAAGAAGAGAGCAAATGAAAAGGTCGGGGAGTTATTTCCTTACCTAAGGCAGCAGTAGTATTTCCATTTGATCATCCTGCTTCAGTGATAACTTTCTTGAGAGAGTCATTAAAGTATAATAAAACTGTAGCAGAAGAGGCTCTTATCGCAATGCAGGCTGGCTTCTGTGAAGGAATAACTCTTTAATTTCTCATTTGCTCCCTGGAAAAGATACTTTTAATATCAATGTGACATCAACTGACATTATTTTATTGATTTCTCTTCTTCTGTCTTTTATAGCTTGCTGCTCTCAACTTTTCATACACTACTGATATAACACAGTTTCGACAGCTCCACATGGATGACATTAGACGATCTTTTTTCTTTGTATCCTTTTCCTTTTGAGCAAAGAACTGCTTGAGAAAGTTTTCACATGGTGCAGAAGTTCAAATCACAGTGGAATGAATTAGCTTCCAATGTGAAAGTAATAAAACCAGTTGATTCTAGGAAGAAGGGAGCTGTGCTTAGGGATATGAAGCCTGCAAAGAAAAAGGAAAGGAAGGAAGGAAGGAAGGAAGGAAGGAAGGAAGGAAGGAAGGAAGGAGTGTGTGTGTGTGTATTAAAGATTTTGTCCATTTTGAGAATTTTTTTTGTGGAAAGATTGTATGTGTGTGCCCCACATTTGTCCATTTGCCCCCTGGGTCTTTTTGTCTCTAGTTGTGCCCAAATTATTGTGATTTTAAGAATCAAAATATTTGTTTCTTAGAATGGACTTAATTGGGAATCACTGCTGAGTTATTACAGACAAAGTGCTTGTCAACAGAATAGGCAATGTGTATCAGTAACAAAAGCATACCTAGTAATATTTCAGCTGTTTATTAAACCTACATACTGTGTCCAGTTTGAAAAATTAATGGAAAGCAAAAATATAAAAAGATGTTTGAACTTGTGAGCTACGTTTCTGCAAACGGGCAGAGACATCTGTTGACCCGATGTTCCACATGGGGTTAATATTGTGTGTATTAGATTGCAGCCCAACCCTTTTATGGAGTTCTGTTTTCACTCCCACCCTACATGGTAAAAGAATTGGACTTATAAATCTCAGCAGGAAGAATCTTGCCTGTTGTGCTGCTGGGCCATTTAGTTACTAAATTTTTAAAAGTGAGCTAAACTCACACGGCATGTGCCGTGAAGTTCCTTATTTGCAGCAATATTTTCCTGATACTGTGGAAAGTGATGTTGAAATATCAAGCTTGCTAAAACACCCAACAACACCCTAACAAAAGCACTTCCCAAAGCAATGCAGGCTGCTAATACTTGCCCATATTTGCTGAGCTAACGATTGAGGCTGGGGATTTGGGAGAAGAGCAGGAGAGGCATCCCAGCTCCTGCTTCCTTTAATCTGCCTTAGTGCAAGCAGATTTTTCTTCCATTGAACTTACCCCTCAGCAGTTACAAGGGCTGATTTAAACAGGTAAACACGACTTGTTCTCAGCATGTTGAAGTCACTGTATTAGGCTTCTCTTGTCAGCTTTTTGCATTTCATCCTGGAAGCCGTTCAATCAAAACAGCTGTGCTTTGGTTTCCCAGCTCCTGATAGTTCAGTTGACAGGTGGATCAAACACAGTATTAAGACACAGAATGGAATGAACTGGAAGGAAACCAGTTGGTGTGTTAGATTCGGTACTGATTACAGGCCGATTCATAAAGTGCATGCATTCTTATTCAGGCAAGCACATCCATGTGGAAGAACAATCCAACAGTATCCCAATAGCCTGTGCAAACATAACTTCTCACTCTTCCCCTTTATATATGGTAAACTTGGAAGCGGGTGTACTGAGGGCGCACCTCAACCCTTCCCCTACTGCTCTTCAATACACACAGAAAATAGTGCCTCAGGAGAGAGCCCTTGAAACCCTTAGCTTTCAAGGAAATGGTCAGCATGGTATCTACTGTGTATACTTCAAGAGATGAAGCAATTTGTAAATATGAATTTGCAATGCAAGCAAAGCAAATACTAGGTTGCCAAGGTTATTTTAGGGTCCATGTCAGGAGACCCAGCTGATGCGCTTTTCCTTCTTATGGGTGTAACCCTACACACACTTTCCCCTGAGTAAGCACTCTTGAACAAAATGAAACTTGGTGCTCATTTGAGATCGTCATTTGAACATCAATGAGACTTAGCATGCAGTGTTAGTCCTTCTTAGACCAACACCTGGGCTCCCGGGGTGACCTAGCGGCCTTTATGTCTTGACTTTACAATTGTGATACAAAATTGTAGTCAGAAATGCTGCTGAGTTATATTTCTGTTACGTGTAAAGAGTGTCAGTTTCCATTTTCCTTAGCCATGTGCAGGTTTTCTTCATAGTGACAGCCTTTTTTGGTACTGGAAACATAGCTTCTGTTAACAGGTAATGCTTGTCAACTGTATGCAGAGAAATAGGGTAAAAAGAGAGGATGCTAACACTCTGTTTCATTCTCTCTAGTCCATGCAAACTGGGCTAATTTCTTTTAGAACTATATCCATTGTTTTATTTTGTGTTGTCTGCAGGGTTTCGTGTTCCTTTTGATCTTAAATAGGGGCAAACGTATGCAGGGTACTAAAACCCTTCTGTCTCAGGAATTTCCCCCTTCCACACAGTAGTTTATTAGTTTTTTATCCTGCCCCATAGTGAAAAATGGCTACCTGGGTGGATTACAAATACAGTGGTATAATAAAACAATATATATCATAAAACATCATTTAAATTAATCAATAAAATCACACATCTGACTCAAACAGCTATCACAATAAAGCTACCACAATTTCTACAATAACCATAGTTCACAAACCATTAAAACCATCAAAAGACACAGCAGCATAACATATAAATGTCATAAGAGCTTTGAAATTATCTTAACTATCAAAATATTGGGTGAATTAAAAGGCCAGGTGCTGGAAAGACTAAAGAGAAGGCACCAGGAGCTGGAATCAGTGGAACTGATTCCAGAGCCAGGGTGCCACCACTGAGAAGGCCCTTCTCCTTATAGCCACCCTCCTTCTGTTTCAGAGGGGGCTCTCTAAGAAGGACCTCGGATGATGGCCTTAGGGCATGGGTAGGCATGAATGGGAAGAGATTTCCTGGCCCCAAGCTATTCAGGTCCTTAAATACTAGTGTTCACAATGTGAACTGGGCCTGGATTTCAATTGGCAACCAGGGGAGATGGTAAAGGACTAGCAAGATATGGTTGTATCAACCATACTTCATCAACAGCCTCACAGCCCTATTGTGGACCATTTCTGGACTGTCTTCAAAGGTAGCCCAATGTAGGGAGCACTGGAATAATCCAAACAAGAGGTGAGCAGAGAGTGAATTATTGTTGCGAAGTTCTGCCTGTCCAGATAGGGTTGTAGTTGATAAATCCACCTAGGCTGATAAGAGATGCTTCCAGTCACCAAATTCACCTGGAATTCTGGCAATAATTCCAAGAGCACCCGAAAACTAACCCTACCCTTTAGGGGGAGTGTGAACCCATCCAGGACAGGTGTAATGTCACCCATCTGGACAGAGAATCCCCCCACCAACAGTGCCTCTGTCTTATCTGGATTAAAACTCATTTTATTGGCCCTCATCCAGTCCATTATCAAGCCCAGGCCGCAATTCAGAATGGCCACTGCCTCGCCTGCATTAGATGTAAAGGATATGAAGAAGATCTTAGCAAAAACCACACTTGCTAAGATATTGCTTGCCTGGGTACCAAACATCCATCCATCCATCCAGAAGGAATGCCCCCTCTGTAAAAAGGAGGTGTAGATGTATCCAGAGCAGCACTCTTGTTGAGTTTCATTTCACTTCTGTCTCTGCATATTTCCAGAGCGTGTATCCCCCATCTGCTTGCAGTACCTGGAGTTGCAGGCTATTGGGGTGGAAGTGTCCCTCCCCACCACTGTGGCATTTTTTAAAGCGAATACAGAATCTGTGCACTTGAATCTGTGCTCACTACCCTTAAGTCCACCTTATGTTGTGTGTCCTACAGAGGAACAGAGAATTTTGAGAGCCTTGCCTGCATGAGACTCAGTGTGGAAGTGCTACTGGAAAGGGCAGCTACATGTTGTGATTCTGTGCCCTTATCCTGTAACTGTCAGGCATGCGTAGCCATGCTGCTTGCCTGTGTTGTTGCACTGCTCCTCAGCATCACTGACTGTTGTCTGTAGATGAGAGAAATGCTGGGAAATGGCAAAGGCGCGTCTTGTCTTGCTTAACATTGTGGGATGAGGGCAGAGAATGCAACCAGGAAATAGCCCTGCATTAAGCTTTACATCCAGTTCCACCAAACTGAGAAGTGGCCAGTTTTGACACACAAGGTGAGCAAGTACTTATGAGGAATCCATTGGGTGCCTGCTATGCTATGGCAGAAATTTACTGCACATGCTAGACACACATGCATGTTTTTGTTGTCCCACTGGACATAAATACAACTCCAATAGTGAAAGAGGAACGAAATGGGATAGTGACTGAAAAGAAGATGAAATGAAATTTTGGTTCAGACCAATCATACAAAAGCCAGCACATATCCCATGTGTTGTTCTGTGTAGGAAAAAAACCCCAAAAAGGTGGTGCACAAGCAGCAACAGCTCATGAAGAATGGCAGGGAATGTGCCAACACCTGTGCTTGCAGCAGCTTGCATAAAAATTTGTGTCTGGACACATCCAGGCAGTGAGAGGACAATAGTGAAAGGGTGCTATGGGAAAGGATTGGTTTAGTGTTGCAAGTGGCAAGCAAGACCTGCCAAAAAAATAAACCCCAAAGTGAATTCAGCCTGGAAAAATAGAAGACATATGAACAAACCAGCAGTGAGATGGTTACATAATGTGACACATTGTTGTAGTCGGAAGAATATATTTCCTGTTACTACATGGAAAATAGTAGTAACTATTTTGCAGAACGCATATGAACTATGTTTATTTTGTTATCCTTTGGGCCTCTAGCTTTGATCCAACTTCGGTATATTGCTTCTTGACAGTATTCAGCCCTTTCCTGATGGGAGGTCTGCTCTTGTGGAAGGTTAGTAATGGCTCCTTTAAGGCGTTTTGCCATTCAGTTGACTAAGCCTTCAGTTCGTTACTTGTCAGTAAATTCTGTTGAAATTGATGGGACTTACCTCCAAGTAAACACAAATAGGCTGTGATACAAATTTAGCATATGATGTGACATGTGGGGTCACCAGTGTGTCTCTGTAAGGCGTTGTGTTTGCAAACGGGTCTGCTTTTCATTTAGTCACATCTTAGCATCTGTTTAATTTCACTTGATTGTCAGTTCGGCTGTTCTGATTTCTTCATAATGTAATCTGTAGTGTGCTGCAAGTCAAACTAAGTAAGTAGTACTGAAATATAATAAACAGAATCCCATATGCTTGTATGCTGCTTGTAGGAAAACCCTTAATACAGTCTTTAAAATGTAGCCCATAAAAGTCTCTTTAGAGAAAAGGCAAGTGGGGGTGGCTGCTGTTCACATTCGAAGCAGCGTGTTGCACACTAGTATTGGAGCGAAGTCACTTTCACTAAATAGGAAAAGAAATGGATGCACTGACCAGCAATCAGTTTCCAGGCAAAAATAAGATCAACATGGCACGAAGTTTGCCAGTCGATTCTCACCCTGCCTTAACAAATGGGCCAGAGCTCACTACCTGCAGCTTAGGAACACCCTGTTTAAAATTCCACAGCAGAAAGAGAGTGTTGCAGAAAAGGTAATGAGGACTCCGAGGTTAAGCAGCAGCTTCAAGTGTGTCACAAGCCCCACCTTCGAACTTCAGCATTGTCTCTCAGAAGCAATGCCCCCTCTGAGAGCTGCAGATGCATCCAGACCAGCACTCTTGCTGAGTTTTATTTCACTGCTATCTCTGCATATTTCCAGAGCATGTATGTAGCATCTGCTTCCATCACCCAAAATTGCAGAAAGAGAGTTCCTCCGTACCACTGTGTTGTGTTTTGTTTTGTTTTGTTCAATAAATACAGAATTGGTGCACTGGAAACTTCAGAACCAGTGTTTAAAAAGAAGGATTGGAGGGGGAATAACATCTGAAGTTAAAATAGGGAGGCAACCATTTCGGAGAATGCCTTCTGGTTTCCTGGAACTAAAAATGAGTGAATAAATGGTATATGGCCACACCCAGGAAGCACCCAGGGGTTTCCCAGTGGTGTTCCAGGGAACAGTGGAAGCTATCAAGGTTTCCTCCATGATGTGAGCAGTAATGACAGACAAGTGGCTGGAAAGGCTGCTCATTTACCTCTAGCAAACTTCCCCAGCAAGATGCAACTTAGCATGTACCTCTGAGGTTCCTCAGCACACTAATCTATATGGGAAGTGTACCTTGAAGGTAGGAAAATCAACGATGACATTACACATTACCCATATTCTAAGTGTTTTCCAAAATATTAACTACGGTGTCAGATACGATAAAATAAAACTGAAGTTGTTAATGTGTTTCGAAGTACCGTGCAGGACTTTCCTTTCCATGATTGAAGATGATGAAAAAAGAGGGGAAGGTGCATGTATAAAAAAAGAACCAATGAGGGAGAGTGGAGTCTCAGGTGCCTATGGAGATCCTTTCCATTATTGCCCAAAATAACATCAGGCATTCTGTAGGCACCCAGAACTACATTTCATTTGCTCTTCTTTCATGACTGAAGGTAATATGCCTGTGGACCTGATACAATGCCTGTAAGATAGCTTTAAAAAAGGAATGGTTTTATCATCTGAGTCTGAAAGGATTATTTTTGCAAAGCCCACACTCAATGGTCTTAGTGAATATTCTTATGTTAACTTGAGATTTTTCTGTTTCTGGTTTTGAGTTGTTTTTGTTGTTTTGTTTTTTGGTAAAAGATTGTCATTAGCTTAATGTAATTCTGTGTCCTCAACAGATTGCAATCCCCTTTGTTCTTGTGTCATGTGCCTTTGAAGCTGTTCAAGTCACAACCCAGCTATCTTCAAAAAGGTACAGTCAATGATTTTAGAAATGCAGCAGTTGCTTTGGGGTTCATTATACGATGTTCATGAAACAGTCTGTACCTATTGGTTTGGAAACCCTAACATTGGGCACAATTAATTGTGTTCATTCAGTATAGACAGAATTCATGCTTATAAACTCTGATTATATGACATGTTTGTTTAAAAAATAACAAATAAAAACTTCCAGTGACACAGCTGTGACTGTGTTCTGAAAAGCATCTATTTTCCATGGATAATGTATTAGGGATGTAATCTTAACAATAAGACTGTTAATTGTTATTGCTACATGATCAGCAGAAGTGTGAATATTTGTAATGCTCTACAAATGTGGAAAACGCTTATATATCAACCAGATTCTACAGTGGAAAGCTTTTTACTGGCAGGCTAGTATTCTCTCTGCAGGGCTGTCTATGCCAGAGTATTCAAACATACAATTTTCCCCACTTGCAGTCTGGCTTGAGTAGTAAATCTATAGCTCATTGATTGTCCACTACTGTAACTATGCCTTTGGATGCCTATAACATATATTGGCAGGGTATGTGTGATAAACTTTCCTGAGGAGAACATTTGCACCCCTTCCCCAGCCCCACACAATTTGTCCTGCAGGCCCCACATGGGGTAGGAAAGTTCTTTCGGTCTGAAGGCCAAATTCAGTTTTGGAGCAGGAATCAGGGTCCCCATTCCAGTGGTGGGCAGGGCAAAATGCAAAGAAAGTGAGACCTAAAATATAAAAATACCAGACTATTTAAGCTTAAAGTCTTACTACCAGTTTGTAAGTCTTAGAAGAGCCATGCAAACTCTCTGGGGAGCTGGCAGAAAGCACTGCACAAAAGCCTAGAAACTACCAAATGATCTGTGGTTGGGGGAAATGAAAGGGGGGGTATGGCCCTGTAGGGGCAGTTCACTGGGGAGTGTAGTGCCATGACAGATGCTGACCTGTGTGCCTTGCCCAGACTGCTTTCCAGGTGCTATTAAGGGGGTAGCTTCCAAGCCTAGCTCTTCCTTCCGATGGCTCTTCATCTTTAAACTGAACTTGGACTTCAGATGAAGGATGGTTTCAAAACAGAGGATAGTCCTCTATAAGGGGGAACACATTGGCCTTCAAACAGAGCACTGTCCTCTGTAAAGGAGAGCACATCTGTAGTCCTATCTGTAGTCCAACTGAAATATTTCAGGAGCATAATTATTTCTGTCTGTGTTTGATGTTCCCTGAATTCTGTGTTCTGCAACGGAACATACATATAATCTATGCAAAGGAAAGACTGAGGAATAGTCTTGGTTTTAATGAAGGAGAGGTTTTGCTGCTCTTGATGTGAACATAATGTAAACTCATAAACAATGGAGGTTCTTATGGGTGATTTCTGGCTGTCTTATTAGTTAATGGGGATGTGTATTTATCTGTGGGATCAGTGCTGAATGTTTTGACAGTAATTTCAACAATGTGATAGTGCCCATTGTGCTTTGCAATGCCAAAGAAGCTTGTAAACTAATCTGCAGAAACTGGATTTGTCACATTTTTAATGATCTTGTAAGATATAATTTTCCAAGCTAATTCTTAAGAACACAACCAGATTCTGGTTTTTCTCATAGGGAGATTGGTAGGCTGCCATTGTTGCGCTAAACTGTGGGACTGAGCAAGACTGCATTTTAATGAACTTTCACACTGTAACTGATAGTACCCTTATACTTATAATTCTTATGAATTAAATTATTATTACAGTTAATGGCCCATCTCCTCTTTCTGCTACTAGGTCAGCTGTTGGCAGCATTATTTTAGTGGAAGTCTCTGGCAAAACCAGTCATTAGCAATTAGAACAGGATTTCTTGAGGCCTAATATTTCAATCACTAATGAAAAGATAAAGATAATGAAGAAGTCTTTAACTGTATTCCACTTCATTTGCTCATAGTTCATTTCACTCACTGAATGTGCTTTTTTGAACCAATCCTGTGTACCAAAGAGAAGTAACTAGTTTCTTGTGCCTCAAGCTAAGTGGAAATCAATGCTCAGTCATTCATGAATGGGTATTCTCCCCATTCTGATGGGAGGAGTCTTATTTATAAGCCTTCGCTCAAGAGAGACTGGAACAAGTAAACATAATGTTCTGGGGCAGCCTCTTGAAAGTTGTCTTGTTCCTCTTGGGGAAGGTCAGAGCTATGAATGGGAACTTGGCTCCAATCAAAGCCTTGTTCAGCCACGCAGCTGAATGTGGGGAGCTAAAAGTGTGTTGGGATACAAAAGAGCATGATGATCAGGAATCAAGATCAGTGAGATATGTAAGTTCTGAAGAAATACACTATAATAGTGAGTCACTCTTAAAAGAGTGCATAATATAACATGTAGTACAACCAAAAGTATTAAAATCAAAGATCAGTGGAAAAAAGAGCTTAATGGCTTAAAGAGGGCTGAATGCAAGATGCTAAATATGTGGAAAAAAATTAACAGACCATAAAATGAATAACAATGGTGTGAGTCCAATTACTGCTTAGCGAACAAAGGCACTAAACAATAGCAGAAAAATGCTCTGTGTGAAATATTCGAGCCAACGATGAATACAAAATCATGACTGAATGATCCATGCTTTTTGTGCACCAGCTTTATAGAACCTCCTCTGGATTTCTTTAAGCGCATGTGCATTATGGGCAGAACTGTGCATGGAAGGCCAGCCCCCCTGTCCTCGGCTGGGCAACTTCTTCACAGACTTGTGTATGCTTGGCTGTATATGTCTGGAAGCCTCTGCATGAATGGGCCCTGCCTTATCCAGGTTCTTGGCCATGCCAAGGTACTTAAGCCAAGCAGTTGACTCTGCCTGGAGCCTCTACTGAGACCTTCACTATAAGTACAAACACCTGAACAAGGCCAAGGGCTAGGCGAGTCTCCATTTGTGCAAGGACTTGCCAGAGATCAGGCCAAGATGCTGCGCAACCCCAGTTCCCAGTGGTTAGGAATAATGGGCATAGTAATCCAATAGCACCTCACAAGGTAGAGTCCCAACTCCTGCTATAGTTTTGAATGTCATATTCTTCCTCAGAAGATAGGCACAGTTTGCAAACCATAGAAAGGCATGGAAAGGGTTGCTCTGATCACACGTAACATTTACTTAACTGTTTATGTCATTGCATTTGTATCAGCTGTACTTCTAAGGAGCTCAAGTACTTGTTCCCAGATTCCTCAGTAGTATTTGCACAACCCCATGACATGGGCTTGGCCTGGTGGAGAGATATTGACTGTCCTGAGATCTTGCAATGAGTTGGGCAGGGATTTGAAGCCAGTCTCTCTTGCTGAAGTCCATCTTTCTGCACTGCACTGACTTTCTATGTTTGTTTGCTGCATTCCTGGAAAAGTTTGCACATAATTTTAAGTCACCCTGGGTGAGTTGGTCTCCCCTCTTTCACACTCAATCCAATACCAGCATTTCCAGAAAGGGAATTATAGGCTCCTCCATTTTTTCATGGCTCTTTTTCAGTGCAGTTACTGCAGTCATGCAAATTTCCCTTTCACTCATTTCTCAGCCTTTAAATTTGTGCAAATATTCCAGACATTTAAAAAAAAGCTCACAAATGAAGTAAATGCTCCAAAAATGAGCTGCAAAAAGTGTGTGGGGGAAGCTTTAACCTAGGTTCGTGTTGAAGTGGGGAGGACTGATAATGGTCAGTCTGACACTTAATCATGGGGGGAGTACACTGCCAAGTGGGAGATTCTGTCACCCCACCTTTGTGGCTTCTTGGAGGCTTAAGGAAACTGACGAGGAAGTGGAGACTGCTTGTGAAAGAGGAAACCGCAAAAATAAAAATAGCATGCCATTTGCACACTTCCAGTGCACAAGGCAGGAGAGGTGACAGACAACTGACAATTGCCATTCGGGAATCGGTAGAGAGACAGTCACTGGCAGGGGAGAACGGTGTGGAGAGGTTGCTGGGTTGGCTGGGTGAGTCTGCAGCACTTCATGGCAACCCACAAGGAAATTGCCCTGCTAGGTTCAGGTGGCACATGAGAATCAGCAGCCCTAAAACAAGCCACTGGTTCTCAGGGTGGCTTGTTTGTGAAAAATAACCCATGGTGCAGAAAATGCCCTGGGCTTGGATGACAGGACAGGCTGATTGCTTGTGGTGGGTTGTTGTGCTCTGCGCACCCGAGCCACCGACTAAATGCAGTCCCCCTGTGCCCCCACCTTCTGGAACTATAAGGTGTGGCTACCTGGAAGGTGGTGGTAGTGATGGTCTGGGGGGTTGGGGACTCTGGGTTCAAGTCCCCACTCAGCCATGGAGCCCACTGGGTGACTTTGGGCCAGTCACAGACTCTCAGCATAACTGACCTCACAGGGTTGTTGAGGTGTAAAACAGAGGAGAGGAGGTTTATGTAATCTGCCTTGGGCTCTGTGAAAGGAAAAAAGGCAGGATATGCATATATTTTATCATGCCGTTTTAGAAATTAATCAATGTCTTCTCCAAAAATAAAAATAAAATAGGTTTGATCTGTCTACTTTTCTGTTAGGGATTGTAGCATGAATGATGGGTAGACTTTTTGCCCAAACTAACTGATTTGGCACAGGCCAGAGAAACCAGCATCCAGAGGAAAAGCTTTGTCTTTGTAAAATAAGTGTCTAGTCCTTAAAGTGGTGGTGATGCTGAGTTCGTGTGGAGAGGGTGTGGCAGTGTCTGACTAGGCCAGACGTCTTACCTCACATGCAGGTGGCTAATGAGATAGAATGGGCCGGCAGAGGGCCAAGAAGGCAGATCCTGAAAGGTGTGGGCAATACTTTGCAAAATGCCGGAGACCTGAGGAGGAGTGGCTGCTAGCCTTGCTGGCTGTGTGGCAGAGGTGGCCTGCTTGCCTGAGCAGCTTGGGCAGGAGGAGGCCATCCCGCTTGCGGGATGCTGTGGGCAGCTGGCTTGCCACCAGGTGTATGGTGTGCTGGACTAGATGGACCTTGGGTTTGATCTAGCAGGGCTGTTGTTATGCTCTTACGGGTTTGGCAGGACTGCTATTACCCTGCACAATCTCTGTCTCGGAAAGCTTTTCCCCGCCCCTGGATAGGGGATGTAAAACAAATCATGTAAAAGTATAATGCATTTGTATAATTTAAACAGGTCATGGAACTCCATTTGCCTTAATGAAACACTTTGATTGCACAGCTGCCACACTCACGCTGGCTGACAGTGCAGAGCCCACACAGTCCTGATAACCCCGGACACATCTGGCTAAGCAAAACAGATAAAACAAGAAGTGTACTGCGCCTCTTGAACGCACAGTGTCCGATTCAGGGGATTCTGCGTAACTGGGTTGCTGCACTGCTGTTGAACTCTGAATTATGGTCTTCCTCTGACATACTGTCTCTCTTTGTCCCCAGGCTTTTCCTCATTGTTCTTGTGATTTCAGACATCATGGCTTTGGTAAGCTACTGTTGGATATTCTGTATAAATAAGATCAAAACCCGGATAGCTCTGGTAATTCAATCAAGAGAGATCTGAATTAGTTTCAGACTTCAAAGTTTCTAGAACTAGGGCAGGGAATTGAATTGAAATGCTGCATAAATTGCATAGACACCCCCCCCTTCACAATCCTTTGTACATCATCTAATGACTACATCAGAAAAGACATAATCTTCATTACTTCTGTTCTTTTGCTGTGCTATTTTTAAGTTAGGATTGCTTTGCTTTCATCTACTATATCCTGAATGTTCAGGTCTGCAAGTGAAAGGGAATGCCAGATGCACCTGGATGCCGCATTTAATTTTTCATCCTTCGCTTTCCTGCCTTCAAAACAAAAAGAAAATATGTCATGGCCAGCCTTCATTTTTCAGAGGAGATGTCAAAATTATCAGGCAAGAAGGGTGGGAATGACAAACCAGGAAGGGATAAATGGTGCACATGAAGTGGGGGGTGGAGAAAAGATCCCTCCCAGCAAGTCCCACCCCATAAATTCAAGTGGTGCTGGAGTGACTCTAATCAAAATGGCCTTATTAAAAATGAAAAATAGCATGCAGCTATGGCCCAAGAGCTTGTTCATTGTCTTGTACTGTATTTGCACAACATAATACAGCTTGAAGGGATGTGTCTTGGGAGCAGTAACAAAAGGGGTTGTGTTTTTGGGGTGTGTACTCACTTCTCACATTGCATATTCTTCCCTGAGGACTTACCTGATGTGACAACACCTTCTGCTTTTGTTATGTCACATCATGGAGCGGCTGCCATAAATGAAATGTTTCTAATGCTAGAAATTGGAATCTCTTACAGGATAGTCAACAACGGTGTATTTACAGGATAGTCAACAACGGTTTAGTTACAACTTCTGCAATTGTTGTCTGTAAAATAAATAAGTTGCCTAAACAGCATGTAATCTGAATTGGTTCTGCTAAATTCATGTCTAAGGAGGAAAGAATTGAGAAGCCCCAAACTAAGCTCTCAACTGCTAGATTCAAGGAGATTACTCCTTCATAGATTGCCAGTTAAGAAGGTGATATGATATCACTGTTTCAAGAGTATAACAGTGTGGAGGAACATTTGGCAGCTAGGCAATAGCTCTGCAGCCTGAAGGGCAAGTTCAGAGTTGAGAATTTTTTCACTTAATTAACAGCATCTTCTCCTGGATTTTGCTGTACATAATGGTAATTGTAGCAGATAAAAACAGGTATCATACTTAGATCACAGATCAATAGCTTATGGTTCTATTGTCACAGCATTTTCTTTGGTGCCCTTTATATTTGATGTTGTAAATTTCCTTGTGTAGCGCAGGAGCATAAAGGCATTACAACCTCTTTCATCAGCTGATACCCACCAGAGGTTTGGTGTATAACTCACAGAATTCCTGACCATTGGCCATACTGACTGCAGCTGATGGAAGCTGAAGTCCAAGGCCTCTGCAGGGCACCAGGCTGTGATAGGCTGCCATTTATATATCTGTGTCTATATTCCCCCAGCCAGAGATAGAAAATGGCCAGCAACTGAGCAGTCATTGCTTCCTTGCCTACTCATACACCTGCTTTATGGCTAAGAGAGGGTTACCTACCTGACCATATTCAGGATTTGAGGAAAATCACTCCTCCCTCCCTCCCTTTTAATTTTGTCCCCTTAGTTTTCTAGAAGACTTTTGTTTTTTTCCTTGTAGCACATTCCCAATTACTGGTAGGATTGTATTGTTAACTTTTAGGGAAGAGAGGAGAAAACACTTATTGTTAGAACAGGCCCAGCATGCTAGAATCAAAAAGGCCTCAGGAAAAATGAACCAAGAAGACTTCCCAGTGGTGGTGACCTGCAACATCTGTGTAAAGGTTGTTTTCCTGCCGGAGGTCAACATGGCCTACAGGTGCAACAAGCTTGGAGTCCTGTTAGAAGAAAAGGTGAGACCAGTAGTGCAGCGCGTGTCCACCCTCACGGTACTAAAAGAAGATGATGAGTTTTAGACAGAACATGGAACTGCAGCAGCCAAGAGTAGTAAAGAAGCTAGAAGTGCAACAGCAAGCTGAGGCAGAAGAGGAGACTCCCGAGGGATGGGGAAATGAGGAGGAAACTCCCAGGAAAAAGGTGACAGTGAGGAGCAGAAGAATTAGGTGGACTTGAAGACATTCTGCACCAGTGCAAACAGTAGAACTATGAAACTGCTCTTAGTTACTCGAGGATGAGACTGGAGGGCAGCTTGTAGTGGAAGAACCACAGGAACAAGAGGGTAAAGGTCAACCATGCAGTGGCAGTGATATCAGAGCTTGCAAGATCAAAAAGAGAAGGGTGTTAGTTGTGGGAGCCTCTGGATGGAAACACATGTATGTCGGGAAGAGCCATGGACTCATCAGGGAGTGGCATAACTGAAAGACTGCCAAGGCTCATACAGCCCACTGACATGTATCTCTTCCTTCTTATATGTGTGGGAACAGATGACGGTGCCAAGCGGAGCTCTGAAGAAATCACATCACACTTTGAAGGTCTAGGGAGGAGAGTCAAGAACTTTAGGGCCAGATGGTGTCCTCTTCTATCCTTCCTGTTCTTGAAACAGGAATAGGCAGGCAAAGAAAAATACTCCAGGTGAAAGTCTGGCTGCAAAGGTGGTGCCAATGTGAGAGATTTGGATTCTAGGACCACAGGCTGTACATCCTTGAAAATGGAGTGCCAGCAAGGGATAGGTTGCTCCTTACAAATCCTGGAAAGGATGTGTTTTGCCACAGCATGAAGACGTTTATCAGGAGGGCTGTAAACTGAATCCTACAGAGAAGGTAGAAGTACACCTGAGTTTAACAACAGACAGAGGCTTATGCACCACAACAGCTCTTACAGTGCCCAATAATGGTTTTCCAACAATCGTAGGAAGAAAGCTAGAGTATAAAGCACATGGTCTCCAATGTCTATATATTTATGCCTAGAGTATGGGAAAAAATTCCATGAAACTTGAACTCTTAATACTCTTCAAGGAGGCATAATGTCATCATTATGGGGGACTTTGATTTCTGCCAAACTTGGCCCCCTCCCCTTCGTACCATGTGTTGCTGATAACTTCTTCCAACCGAAAGCTGAAACAAGAGGAATAGCTATCCTTGACTTGATACTAATCATCAAGTAAGACCTAGTGGCAGCTATGGGAACTTTGGAGGAAAATGACCATGCCATACTTGAATCCTTGATTCTAAAGGAAGCAAATCAAAATGTAGCCAAACACTTGCCCTGAGCAGACTCCTAACAAAGGATGGACAACAGGAATGGTCCAAGGTCTGGAAACAAAGCCCCATGAAGAGTGATTCAAAGAATTGGGCATGTTTAGCCTCAAGAAGGGAAGAGTGAGGGGAGGTAGGATAGCACTCTAGAAGTACTTGAAAGGTAGTCACTAAGAAGAAGGACAGGCTCTCTTCTCAAGCATCCCAGAGTGCAGGAGGCAGAATAATGGGCTCCAGTACCATGAAGCCAGATTCCGGCTAGATATTACGAAACTTCTGGCCTGGTCCCTTGCAACTCTACTATTCGGTGATTCTATGATTCTAGACATGTTCATGTTTGTGGGTCATATTTTTACGCAACATTCAAGAGAAGATGCCAGAGCAGCTACACTTCCTTTGTAACATCAAACCCAGCCCAGATAGTTCCTAGCTTAGCAGGAATTTGAACCTCATTCTCTCTTCCGCAGATTCCCCCTCTCTAAGGACTTGCTTCCTGAATTGCTTGTGATTTAGTTAAACATCAGCTGATGGCTCCTGTTCATCTTTTACTTCGAGATTTAAATGCCCTAAATAAGCAGGCAGAAACATGCATTTGAGCCTTGCCATTCTTGTTGTGCAATGTTTATTTACTGAACAAAGTTGTGTTCTTTTTCCCCCACTTAGCACTTCTTCTTTCTAGTTAAAGATTATGGAAGCTGGCTGGATATCGGAACAAGGTACAAGGCTTTGGTTTTTCTTTCTCCCACCTTTGTCCTTCCTCCTTAGCTGTAATGTTGTCTGTAAAATACTTGTGGTTCACCAGGCCAAAGCTTTTCATTTATTGCCTTTCTGAATTATCCAAAGGGCAATTCACAAGATAAAACCTAAGACCATATAACACAAAAACAAAGAATAAAACCAAAACAAAACCAAGCAGCACTAACATGGTTTCTAAAAGCTGCTCTGAATGGTTTGAGAGAATTAAAGGTCTCTACCTGGCCCCAGAATGACTAAATGTGAGTGCCAAGCAGAGGGCATACCACAGCCGGGTCCCCATATTTGGCTTGGATAAGTATGTTTCTCCAAGTGTTCATCAGGAAAAGAATTGATGGAAATGCTTCAGAGCCATTCAGTGATTACTCACTTCCTTATCCGTAAATTGTAACATATGTTTGTTTTGTATTTTTGCTTCTTGTCTCATTCAATTGTGTAGTGAGTGATTGATATGATGGCCCTGAGCTGCTTTGCTGGTCATCTCTATCAGCTCAGTTATCTTCAGCTTGTCACCCCTTGATTTTCCTCCAGTGAGAAGTATGTACCTGCTACTTTTTTTCCACAGCAACAGAGAAAATACCTCCCCTGCACCCAAAAAAAGAGCTTCTGATACATAGTTTACAGAGAGCTTCTTTCTAAACTGTTCAGAACTTTCAAACTTGGAAATGCTTAAATTATAGCACCAAAGGGCAGTTTGGTATGTCATGAAATTTTTGTCATACTGGTTGGACAGAAGATATCAAGGAGTTGATTTTCCTGATAAGAAAACCAGGAAACACGAGTTCGTTGATAGGTCTGATATGTGTATTTAGTCTGGAAACATAAGGTATAAATATGGAATTCTGCATTCCTCAGTCCTGCAACTTCCCCACTCCCGGCATTGGATCATTCCCTTGTCCTGGGTCGGTAGGGAGACCACCTGGTTCTGAAGGAGATGTCCACATCACTAGCATCTTCAGGGGTCCTTTGACTGGATCCAGGAGATGGAGGGTACTAGCTAGGCATGTACATAATCAGCTCCCACCAGGGTGGATGAGTTTTCTGTAACAAGAAGTTACGGAATTATTTTATTCCTGGAGCCATTTCAGAAAACAGTCTAAAGTCTAGATGTTGCTTTAGAAAGCTTCTGTCCTACAAGCATTTGATTTGGGATTTGGAAAAAGGTGATGATTTATAAATTGGGGCGGGGGGGACCTGGTGATGAGATACATGCTGGCTTTCCCAGAACTGCTAATGATCTCGTTACTTCCTCACTACATTTTCCAGTGTATTCTTTTGTATTTGTACATTTGATTGGCCTGCATTTTTCTGTTTTCCACAGTTCATTGTTGAGGGGGTTAGGGTCTACCCCCTCTTAGTGGCACAGTGTTCATGCAGGAGCCAAGCAGCTGCTGGTCCTTTTCCCATAAGAAATAAATTCTCACGCAACCTCTTCAGATACCAGGACAACACTATGTAATCACACTAAACATACAGCAGATACCGAGCCTTGTGGTAATATCTTTCCTGTAATGGGTTGCATTTGCTATTTGCTACATGTATATCCCGCTTTTCCTCCAAAGGAGCCAGGGCAGTGAACACGATCCTCCTCCTGTCCATTTTATCCTCACCACTAAGGAGGACTGGGCTGGCCCAGTCACTCGGTGAGCTTCACGGCAGAGTGGGGGCAGCACTCTGACCTCCTGTGTTGCAGCCACTGCACCGCACAGACTCCCCGCAGACAGACAAGTAAGGCCATGTTTTCCTTTCCCCGTTCCTGCCAGCACTGGTCAGTGATACTGAGTGCAGACAGGGAAGGGTACGGAGTGATGAATCATTGCACGAGTAAACCTTTATTCCTGTTTTGGAAAGGGAAAAGGAGAGCTCAGTGCAAGGCTGCCATTAGCGTGCTGCTGCAGCTCCTCTGCTTTCCGTAATGGGTGGTTCTGTCCTGGATCGCTTTCTTGGTGCTCTTATCCAAGCAGGAATGAGCTTTCTGTCACAGAGCTTCATCCTGAAACTGACCCTTCCAGCTTGCAATGCTAGGAATGCTTTCTAGAACTGCAGACTTGGCTCCGGCTTAATTGGAAATTCCTTCTCTGCCGATGCCCAGACAAATAAGCAGCAAAGGCAAGTTCTCTTTCAAAGGTAACTCAAGTCATCAACTGTATTCAGACCAGAGAGGATTCCAGCCATCACTGGGTGACACAAGTATGTGTAAAAAGAGTTGCTGAAACCAACATAAATCTTCAAACGGAACCTTTACTGCCTGTCACATGGTCACTAGAAAGGACCAGTAGTGATGCTGGAAAGGTACCTCTCGCTTGCAAGAGTTGCTGGTTGCCCACCTGAGGAAGCAGCCCAGGGTCCTGAAATGGAATGAGCAGTATGGCCGCCAGATGGTGATGGCCTGTTGTTAGGATTTTTGTCTTCTACCACCACACCCATTACCATGGCAAGTTTCTTGGAAATCTCTCAGCCAGAGCATCCAATGTATTACCCAATCAGAGCTGGCAAACATTTGCCCTCCAAAATGTTTTGGGTTGCAACACATTTGGTTGATTGCTATTCTATTTTTCATGTTCAAGCAGCCTCATTAGTCCTCACTAGGCAAAAGGAAAAAGCAGAGATTTGCCACTGTGCTACGGAAATTTGGTCACAAATCACAACCTTTTTCCTTTGTTCAGCAAGGACTGATGATGTTGTACTAGTATCAGCTATGCTAGTGTAATGCCATTAGCCTAACATTTGTCTAAAACCACAAGACTGCTGCTGCTACTTTTTTTTTAATGAACCCAAGTGCTTAAAAGCCTGCAAGAATCTTCACTGGTGCTAAAAATAGAATAGCATAGGTCCTGGGAGAAGCAATCTGGAGAGAGCATTTGCTATCCAGGGTGCCACCACTGACAAAGCTCTCCTCATTTAATTTGGTGGCAAAAGGCAGTGTTTAATGCTATCTGGAAAGTGAACTTTTCAGCAGAAAGAATTTGAGCTTGCTCTTCTGCCTGACATAGTTTGCTCTGTGTCTGCTTTGTTTCCATTTTGCTTTTGCGTTTGGTTTGGTTTGGTTTGGTTTGCTTTTGCAGGAAGGGCTTTGTGTGCAGCACTCTAGCATACTAGCTCATGTACAGTGAGCTGTGTAAGAGTTCTACCCCCACCCCCTTTGGGAATGAGTAAGCTGTATTGCATGGAACGTGTGTCTGAGTGTTCCCAGATTTCCCTATGCATCCATTGGGTGTCTCCCCTTCCTCTATTAGTATCTTGCCACCAATTCCCATCTCACTGATGTATAGACATTCTTACTGACCTTCAGCTAAGATGAAGGAACTGGATATCGAATAGTATTGTGACTGTGGACTTCAGTTGTACAACATAATGGTGTAAGGACATCAAACCTTGTCAAGCTGTTATAACGAGGCTGGCTTTTTGTTCAGGAAGCAGAGCTTTTGTTTCCTTTTAAAATTACAATGATGCTCCAGCATGAAAACTAATTTTCCAAGCAGAGCTGCCTGCAGGCATTGCAGTACTGGTTGCTGATAGCCTCAGATATATTGGCAGGCTGCCATTATGTGATAACAAATAGAATAGGAATTGCTTTTAATTGCATTCTATTTGTAGCATGATTTCTTCCCCTCCATGGCATTTTTGTTGAACACTCTTCTGTCTGTACAGCTACATCTAGTGCAGCTTATACGGGAAGAACGAGTTCAGCATAGTACCTATGATGGTTTGCACACCAGTTCTTTCCAAACTGTTCCTTTCCTAATGTTTTAGGACTGCTTCGCACAGGGTGAGTGAATGAGCCATTACAGATCAAACGCCACTGGTATTTATTTGGTTTTGTACCCTGCCTGTCTACTCAGAAATGGCACTTAAATCAACAATTTGGAATAGAGTTGGGGCACAGTCCTTTGGGTGCCACATCCCCTGTGCACAGCCATAGGCTAGGTCAGAGTCCCAGCTCCAGCCTTGGAACTGCAGCATTTCTTCCCTCGCCAGCACCCTTCCTTCAGTGGCTGCAGTGCTGATCTCTTGGGTGCAACTTTGGAGCTGTCGCTCGGGAATATTCTGGAGGGGTGGGAAGAACCTTGCTCTCCCAGGCTATGAGGAATCCTGGTGATGCCTCTGCTGCTTCGCACAAGGAGGGGCAAAAGACAGAGATGGCCACTTAGTTGACGCTCTGTGTTTTCTGTAGGACAGGAGGCTCACAGGGGCAATCCTTGTCTCCAGAGTCCTCCCACGCCATGGTAGATACTTACACTCCTTTCAGGTTTGGAGGGTGACAAGCACCCCATTGGATAGCACCCTAAAACAGTGATGGCAAACCTTTTAGAGACCAAGTGCCCAAACTGCAACCCAAACCCCACTTATTTATCACAAAGTGCCAACACTGCAATACAACCTGAATACTGAGGTTTTAGTTTAGAAAACGATTTTATCCTAGCTGCTGCACAACATGTGTGCAGACCATTTCAGAAAGCATAGCACAAGCTGTTTTACAGACTGTTGTACAAGAGACATTATGTCTTCTTTACACTAGGCGATGATCTATGTTCTGGTAGGGAAAAATCACAAGAGTCAGCAGCGTTCTGTTCGTGGCTTGCTCAGCTCCTTATGCAAAAGCTCGTGTAAACAGGAGCAAAGTACTGGATTTGATACTTGGGCAAGCATAGAACTAGGGTTTCTGCAAGCAGTAGAAGCTTGATGTTGGCAGAATGACACTGCTGCATACAAGCCATTGTGTACATTGCAAGAAAGAGGAACATTTTTGTTCCCTTCAGGGCTGCCCTCAGAGTTGCAGCACTGCTGTTCCCCCAGGAGTTGCTTTGAGGAGAGGTACTGATGGCCCAGTTTCCATAAATGCAGCACCTCCCATCGTGCACAGCAGCAGTGGCTGCATTGTAAGTTGAACCTGGCAGAATAGTCTCTTTGATAGGAAGAGGCTGAGGTGAGAATCTGGTGTGTGGAAGGTTACAAGAGACGA